ACCTGGCAACCAACTGGACTGGGGACCAACAAAGCCTAAAAGACTGCCCACATAGTCAGGCCCTTCACAACGGAAGGACCCTGTAGCCCTCATAAAGGGAACCCCTAGAGATATAGTTCGGATGATGAGACGGGAGTGTGTTGCTGGGATGCATAGGATGCCTCATACAAAGGGAACTTCTCCAAAGTCAGGAAACATAACTAATCTACCAGATACATAAAAATACAAATAGCAACTTAGGCAAACTGAGGTGACAGAGGACCATGTCCCAGATGAAGGAAAAAGGTAAAACCCCAGAAGAAGAACTAAGTGAAGGGGAGTTAGGTAACACCCGAAAAAGAGTTGAGGGTAGGGATCATAAAGATGATCAAACAACTTGGGAGAAGAATGGATGCATAGAGCGAGAAGTTCGAAGTTTTTAAAGGAGTTAGAAAATATAAAGAACCACCAAAAAGAGAAGAAAAATACAATAACTGAAATGAAAAATACATCAGAAGACTAAATGATACAGAGGAATGGATAAGTGAGCTAGAAGACAGAGTAGTTAAAAATCATTGATACTGAATAGAAAAAAGAAAAAAGGCTGAAAATAAGGACAGCTTAAGAGACCTCTGGGACATCATCAAGCATACTAATATTTGCATTATAGGGGGTCCCAAAAGAAGAAGAGAGTGAATGAAGCTGAGAATATACTTAAAGACATAATAGCTAAAAACTTCCCTAATCTGGGAAAGGAAACAGACATCCAAGTCCATAAAGCACAGAGAATCCCACCCAGGATTAACCCAAACAGGAAGACACCAAGACACACTGTAATTAAAATAGCAAAAATTAAAGATAAAGAGAGGATATTAAAAGCAGCAAGGGAAACCAACAAATAACATATAAGGGAACTCCGATAAGGCTATCAGTTGACTTTTTAGCGGAAACTCTGAAAGCTAGAAGGGAGTGGCACAATATATTTAAAGTGATAAAAGGAAAGAAACTACAACCAAGAATACTCTACCTGGCAAGGCTCTCACTCAGATATGATGGGCAGATCAAAAGTTTTACAGGGCTTCCCTGGTGGCACAGTGGTTGAGAGTCTGCCTGCCGATGCAGGGGACACGGGTTCGTGCCCCAGTCTGGAAAGATCCCACATGCCGCGGAGCGGCTGGGCCCGTGAGCCATGGCCGCTGAGCCTGTGTCCGGAGCTTGTGCTCCGCAAAGGGAGAGGCTACAACAGTGAGAGGCCCGCGTACCGCAAAAAAAAAAAAAAAAAAAAAGTTTTACAGATAATAAAAAGGTAAAAGAATTCAGTACCACCAAACCAGCTTTACAAAAATTGTTACAGGAACTTCTTTAAGAAAAGGTCACAACTGGAAACAGGAACATTAAGAAATGAAAACGCTCATCAGTTAAGGCAAACATACAGTAAACGTAAGAAATGATCCATACACAAAGCTAGCAGACAGGTTAAAAGTAGTAGTAAAATCATCTATATCCACAATAAGCATAAGATAAGCAATAAGATACACAAAACAATTAGATGTAAAATATGATATAAAACGCAGTAATCATGATGGGAGGTGAGAACAAATGCAAAGTTATTAATATGCATTTGAAATTAAGAGACCAGCAACTTAACTTTGTTATAAAGCAGAAACTAACACACCATTGTAAAGCAATTATACTCCAATAAAGCTGTTAAAAAGAAGAGACCAGCAACTTAAACCCATCATGTATATATATAGATTGCTATATAAAAACTGCATGATAATCACAAACCAAAAATCTGTAATAGATACACATGCAAGAAAAGAAAAAGGAATTCAAATGTAACACTAAAGATAGTCATCAAATCACGAGAGAGCAAAAGAAATAACAGCAATAACCAATAACAGCATCAAAATGAGACTGTGGGAAACTCTGCAAACAAAGAACCCAGTTTTTTCAAGAACTAAATTAAAAGAAAAAAATGAGAGGGCATCTATAGATTAAGAGATACTTAACAAAAATTTGAATTTCAATACATGGATGTAATTTTGATCTTGATTCCAACAATATATACAACATTTATGAGATGAGAGAATTACTATTAATTCTTATGGTATACTAACTGAATTGTGGTTATACACACACAGGTGTGTGTGTGTGTGTGTGTGTGTGTGTGTGTGTATTAAAGAGTCCTCATATTTTACAGATACATATCAAAGTATTTTCAGATGAAATAACATGTCTGATATTTGCTCTAACATAATCTACTTTGGGGAGGTATATATGAAACAAGATTGTTTTAATAATCATGCCATGATTTATAATACATGTGTGATGGGTACTACTCTCTCTACTTCTGTATGTCTGAAAATTTCCATAAAAAGTAAATAAAGAAAATGTTGTGAAATGCTGTTTTACTGTAGGTCACTTCCCTACACAAAATCTTTCAAGGACTCCCTTCTGCCTACCAAACAGAGAACATCTGCTAGACTCATTTCTCAAATCTTCCATCCAGTGTTCTTTATTGGCCTCAAACACTGTAACATTTCCCCTCTAATCTTTGCTTCATAATTTTCAAGTGGAATGCATTCTCTCTCTCATTTCAACCTTCTAAATTTTACCCATCTTTCAGTGCTTGCTTCAGGTAACATAACAGAACCTTGGAGCTAAAAGAGGACTTTAAACTAGTTTCATGGGTTTTTGAACAACTTTAGAAGTAGAGGTTTAGAAGTCTAAATTTAGAAGTTTGCTTTTCCCAACAGAACTTTAAAAATAAATGGAACTTTGAATAAAATGTTTTTCCTGTATTGAAAAATAGCTTACCCCTAAACCTTCTACATAAAAGTATTTCATAATTATCTACCTTTCTTATAAAAATCTTTGAAAAATATCTGCCACTAATAACGTATTTATCATGCTTACAAATATTGTGCTCAGCATGCTTATAAATTAAACATTACATACGATTTATATTAAAAAGTTTGCTTTTCTTAAAGCAAAATATTTTGTACAACCCCAACACATTATATATAGAAGAGATAATAAGCATTTCTACTTTTGATGAAGGGCAGCCTGAAGTCCTTTCTATTAAGCTTCCAACCCTGAACAAAGAATAACAACCACAAGTACCAATTTCATCCTTGCAAAGATAAAAAATTGAGCTAAAAGAAATTAAATAATTTACAATTGTCAAGAGTCATAACAGCCAATGTTGGGTTTCACATCTATATCCTGCCCCTTCTGCTAAATGACTGCCTTCTACTAAATGCTATCTCCTTTACCCTTTATATAGCTTATCCCTCTCTAGAATATAATCTTTCTCTAAATCACAACACCATATGTAAGTAGACATAATACATACACAGAGACACTCAGTGACCACTTGTTGAATAAATAAGTGGCACTTACTAGATTCTGTCTATAAAACAGCTGGGTATATTTGTTTTATCTTACCCTTAAAATTAAAATTTTCTTGAGGAAATAAATTGTCTAACATATGACCTTTCACTAGTTAGGTAAAACTTTCAGAAGCAAATATTAACCACTTGGTGCTTTTCCTTATTTTGTGTCAGTCAAAAGCAGAATACCCACAAATGTGAAGAGCCAAGAGAAGATGAAAGGTGTTGTATTTTTAGAGGCAATTTACTATCAAAGAGAGGTAAAGTAATAGAAATAAAGGCTGGAAATTAGCTGTAGATGGAATCAACCCAGATAAGAGACTAAAATGATTTTAGAAGGAAATACCAATTTAGAGAAATAAGCACTAGATATCATCTAATTGATGGAAATGGAACTTATTAATAACAGTATATTTATGTTGATCCACATGAAACTGTCCATATTTGACCATTTTTGACCTACTTCCCCCCCATAAAAATGGCAATTTCACAGGGTTCAACCTACTGATAAGTATAAAATCTAGTCTACTGAAAGACATGTAAGTATGTCTTTCCAGAATGACTTCAGTGTTCATCAACTAAACTCTACCATACTTTTAGAATAGACAAAAAACAAATCCAAAAACCAAAAACACAAAAACCCTACATTAACCTTATCAGAGATTATAATAGTTCATATGGGTTGGAGTTGGAGTGAGACTAATTTAATAAAGATCCAAGCTAAGAGGAACAAAGTCTGAGAGCCAATGCTTAATTCATCTGTGATTTAAACTAAGGAAGAGATTGAAGAGGCTAAAGCATGGAACAAACTCCCAACTTCAATAAAGATATATATCCTAACCCAAGAGTAACTAAACTTTCTCTTTCATCTAACTGTATAAACAAATACAAATATAAAGCTAAATAATCTTTTATTGATCTATTATTAGAAGTCCCTACTAAATTATAAAGAATAACATTTGGATGAATCTTACAGAATACCTGAAAATAGGCAATCTTAAAGCATTTACAATAATCCTCTATTAATCAGAATAACTAATGTATCAAATTATTCCCTAACATGGTTAACATTTTTCTGCATTTACATGTTCAGTTTGCATTCAAGAGCTTCTCTGACATGAGAAATGATGTTTTAGTTACTGTTTCTTACTATGGTTATTGGCAAATATTAGACATTCAAATGTCTGTTGATTTAATCAACAAATGAGTAAGAATTATTATTTATATTCTTGAATTCCAATTTTTAATTAAGAAAAAACGAGTGAGATATCAGGACACAATGCTGAATATCTTTGCTGAACAAATAACTTTAAAGCAAAAACTTAAAAGAAAATGAATATTCTTTTAAATTACAAAAGGGTAATGGCTTTATAATGTCTATAAAAATAAATACAAAATAGCTATATAATGAAGCAGGTAATTATTTTTTCAAAAACTAAAAAACATTTAAAACCCTAATGTTTCAACATAAACTGACACGAATATTTACAAAATTTCAGCAATCTCTGAACACTGCTGTTGCATGACTCTGATTTTAAAAGCTGAACACCACCAACATTTAAAAAAAAATTTTAGTAGTCAAAACACATGAAAAAAAAACGATTTCTAACATGACAATGGATTAATTCACATACTAAATTGCTCTATACAGGGCGATTTCACAATCCAGGAGCCATAGCCATGCTGCTGTAAGTAGGATTTCAACAAAGTTTTAGCTTCTTGATAGGATCCAGACATATGCTACAGAAAGAAAAAAATATTGAATTATAGAATATAGGCAGAATTAGGCTTATGAAAAGTAAGTAGCCCTAATCTTCTTTCTTTAGTTTGACATTTTAAAAATTAAGAAAAATCTTTTTTATTTCCCATTTCCCTCAGTATTGTTTTTGAAACTAAAAATTTTCCTTCCCAACACTCCTAAAAGACAATTTTTCTTCTTTAATTTTTAATTAGAAGAGTAATCATACTCATTACAGAAAACTTGAAAATAGAGAAAACAGAATAAAAATCACCTGTGCTGGATCACATGGTAAGTATATGTTTGTCTCCATAACAAACTGCCAAACTGTCTTCCAAAGTGCTTTATACCATTTTAACATTCCAGTCAGCAGTGCAACAGGTTTCTAGTTTCTCCACAAAAACACCCGGTGTAGTCAGTCTTTTGGATTTTAGTAGGTGTGCAGTGGTATCTCGTTGTGGTTTGATTTTGCATCTCCCTAATGAGTAATCAGGCTGAGTATCTTTTATATGTGTATTAGCCATTTGTATATATTATTTGCCACTTTGAAAAACTGGGTTGTTTGCCCACTTAATAATGAGTTATAAGAGTTCTTTATCTATTCTAGATCTAAGACCTTTGTCAAGTGTATGATTTGCAAGTATTTTCTTCCATCCTGTGGCTTGTATCTTCATTTTCTTAATCCAAGTTTTAAATTCTGGAGTCCATCAATTTTTTCTTTTATGGATTGTGCTTTTGGTGTCATATCTAAGAAAAATTTGCCTAACCTAGGAAGACAAATGTTTCCTCACATTTTCTTTGGAAGTTTTTATAGTTTTTACCTCTTTTAGTTCTATGATCCATTTTGAAGTTTTTGTATGACTGATATAAGTCTAAGTTAATTTTTTGGCTTGCCCACAGATACCCAACTGTTCCAGCACCATTTGTTGAAAAGATTTTTCTTTCTCCCATTAAATTACTTTGTACCTTTGTACAAAATCAATTGATCGTAAGTGTGTGGGTGTATTTCTGGTCTCTTATTCTGTTCCATTGATCTATATGTCCATTGATCTATATGTCTATCATTACATCAATACATTGTCTTGATTACTGTGGCTTTATGGTAAGTTGTTGAAACTAGGTAGGGTACTCTACCAATTTTGTTCTTTTTAAAAATTGTTTTGGTTCTTCTATGTCCTTTGGATTTTACGTAACAATTTTAGAAACAGCTTGTCAATTTCTACACAAAAGCTTACTGGGATTTTGATAGAACTTGCACTGAATCCATAGATTATTTAGTAGAGAAGTGACATTCTAAAAACACTGAGTTTTCCAATCTATTAATTGGTACATCTCTCCACTTACTTAGGTCTTTTTAAATTTCTCTCAGCAATGTTTCATCATTTTTGGTGTACAGGTCTTACCTTCTTTTATTAAATTTATTCCTAAGTTTATTTTTATGCTCCTGTGGGTGAAATTTTTTTCTCAAGTGTAATTCTGGGGTGTTCAGTCCTAGTATATACATATACAATTTATTTTTCTATATTGTTCTTACACTGTGTGCTAAATTCACATATAATATAGTTGTTTTTGGTAGATTCCAGAGGATATTTTACATACAATATCATTTAGAAATAAGGACAGTTTTTCTACTTCCTTTCCAGTCTGGATGCCTTTTATTCCTTTTTCTTGCCTTGCTGCTCTACCTAGGACCTACAGATCATGCTGACTAGAAGTGGTGAGAGCAATCTTTGGGGGAAGGGGAAACAGTATTCAGCTTTTCAGCATTGTCAGGTAAACTGTAGTTTTTCAGTGATGCCCTTTATCTGGTTGAGGAAGTTCACTTCTATTTCTTATTTGTTCAGTGTTTTTATTGTGAATAGGTGTTGGATTTTGTCAAATGCATTATGTACATCTACTGAGATAAGTATGTGGGTTTTGAACTTGAATATATTCACATAATACATCAAATGATTTTCTGATGTTAAATCACCCTTGCATCCTGGAATAAACCTCCTTGGTCATGGTGTATAATCCTTTTTATATGTTGCTGGATTTGGTTTGTAAATATCTTATGAATAATTTTTGCATTTATGTTCCTAAGAGATACTGATTTGTAGTTTTCACTTCCTGTGATGTTTCTGACCACTTTTGGTATCAGGGTTATTATACTGGCCTCATAAAATGAGCTGGGAAGCATTCTCTCCTCCTTTATTTTATTAAACAGTTTTTGTAGGATTTATGTTAATTTTTGCTGTTATGTTTGGTAGAATTCACCAGCGAACCCATAACTGCATTTGTGCTTTTCTTTAAGAATTTTAACTAATAATTCAATTTTTTTTTTTACTTTAGTTCAATTCAGATGTTCTGTTTAGTCAAGTTTTGTAATTTGTCTTTCTAGGAATGCATCCATTTCATTTAACTTGTCTAATTTGTTGACAAAAGGTTGTTTATAGTATTTCCTTATAATTATTTTAGCTCTTTGGGGTCTTCAGTGATGACTCTTCTTTCATCAAGATTTTGATCACTTGCGTTGTCTCTTATTTCTCAGTTATTTCTTAGTTCTTTAGTCTAGCTAAAGTATTATGAATTTTTTTGCTGATTTTTTTCAATGAACCAGCTTTTGATTTCATTGATTTTTCTATTGATTTTCCTGTCTTTTATCTCATTAATTTCCAACCCATCCTATATTATTCTTTTTTTTTTTAAAATTTGCTCTTCTAACTTCTTGAGGTGGAAGGTTAAATAACTGATTTTATGGTTCTCTTCCTTTTTAATATAAGCATTTAAAGCTATGCATTTCTAAGCACTTCTTTGATTATATTCTCTAAATTTTAATATGCTGTATTTTCATTTTCATTCAGTTTGAGATATTTCTTAATTTCCTTTGTATTTCTTCTTTGACTTGTGGAATAGAAGTTGTTTAATTTCCAAATGTATAATTATTTCTAGATTTCATTCTGTTGTTTTCTAATTTAATTCCATAGTAGTTAGAACATACTTTGTATGATTTTAATCCTTTAAACTTATTGAGACGTGCTTTATGGCCTATATGGCCTATAGTGGAGAATGCCTCATGTGTATTTGAAAAGAATGTATATTCTGCTGTTGTGTATAGTGTTTAGTCTGGTTGGTTTGTAGTGTTATTCAAGCCTTCTATATTCTTACTGATTTTCTGTCTAGTTGAACTATCAATTACTGAGGGAGGAACATTAAAACCTCCAACTATAATTGTAGAATTCTCCATTTCACCTTTAAATGCTGTCATTTTTTGCTTATGTATTTTGGGGTTCTGCTGTTATACCCATATACTTATATAATTGTTGTTATGTTCCTAATGTATTAACCGTTTACCACTATAACACGTTACCCTTTGTCTCCAGTAATATTGCTCATCTTGATGTGTACTTGTTTGATTTTAATGTAAACACTCCAGCTCTCTTACTGCTATTGTTTGCCTGGTATGTCTTTTTTTTCATCCTTTTACTTTCAATCTATTTGTGTCTTTGAATTTAATGTGTCTCTTACAGATAGTATACAGTTGGATCTTGCTTTTTAGCCCAATCTGAAAAATCTCTGTCTTTTTTCTGGAGCATTTAGAATATTCAAATTTAATGTAATTATTGATATAGTGGATTTATGTCTGCCATTTCACTTTATTTTCCAAGTCCTGTGTCCTTTATTTCTCTGCTTCTTTATTGCCTTCTAGTCCTTTTAAAAATGCATTTTTAGTACACCATTTTAATTCCTCTGTTGATGTTTTAGCTGTAGTTTTCCAGCTATTCTCTTCATGGCTACTTTAGTAATTACAATATACCTCTTTCTCTTACCATAGTCTGCTTCAGATTCATACTGACTTAATCCTGCTAATATATAGCAACTTTGTTCCAATATTGATCCATTTCTTTCTCTGTCCTTTATTATTGCCATTTATACTCCACTTACATACATTATAAAATTCAATAATACAGTGCTAAAATAATTTTAAACAACTTTGGTTTTTTAAAGAAAATAAAAGAAAATATATACATCTTTTATATCTACCCACATAATTACTGTTTATAGTATTCTTTATTCCTTCCTGTAGACTTGTTATCATCTGGTATAATTTCTTCTAAGCCTCAAGGACTTCCTTTGGAATTCCTTCTAGAGAAGTTCTGCTAACAACAAATTTTCTTAATTTTTGTCTACCTGGCAATGTTTTTATTTTGCTTTTGTTTTTAAAGGAATCCTGACCCATTAGCAGTCACTTCTCATTCTCTCCTCCCCACAGCCCCTGGAAATCAGTAATCTACTTTCTGTTTCTATGAATTTGCCTATTATAGACATTTCATATAAATGGAATCATACATGCAGCCTTTTGTGGCTGGCTTTTTTCACTTAACATTTTCAAGGTGGACCCTCACTGTAGAATGTATCAGTACTTCAGAGTTCCTTTTATGGATGAATGGTAGTCCGTAGTATGGACATGCCACATTTTGTTTATCCATTCATCAGTGGATGAACGTTTGGATTGTTTCTACCTTTTCTGTATTATGAATACTGTTACAGACATTTATGTTTAAGTTTTGGTGTAGATAAGTGTTTTCAATTCTTTTATGCATATACCTAGGAGTGAAATTCCTGGGTTACATGATAACTCATATTTAACTTTTTGAGGAACTGTTAAATTGTTTTCCAAAGTAGATGTACCATTTTATATTCCTATCAGCAATGCACGATAGTTCCAATTTTTTCACATTCTTGACCCTTGTTAATGTCACTCTTTATTACAGCTATGTCCTAATGTGTGTAAAGCAGTATATCACTGTGGTCTTCATTCGCATTTTCCTAATGACTATGTTGAACATCATATGCTTATTGGCCATTTTAAAATTTTCTTTGTAGAAATGTCTGTTCAAATCCTTTGCTCATTCAAAAAATTTGGTCATCTGTCTTTTTATTATTGAGTTGCAAAAGTTTTTTGTGTATTCTGGATACACGTCCCTTATTAAATATATGATTTGCAAATTTCCTAATGATAATTTTTGAAATGCAAAAGTTTTACTTTTAATGAAGTTTAAAATACTATTTTTTTCTCTTTTGGATTGTGTTTTTGTTATCAGATCTAAGAAGCCTTTTTTCTTATTTAGGAATACAAATATTTTCTCCTATGTTTTTCTCTGAGTTTTATAGTTTTAGCTCTTACGTAGGTCTATTCATTTTGAGTTCATTTTTGTATATGGTATGAGGTAGAAGTCCAAGTTCATTCTCTTCCATGGGGATATTCAGTTGTCCTAGGACTACTTACTGAAAAGACTATTTTTTCCCACTGAATGATCTTGGCACTCTTGTTAAAAATCACTTAACCATAATTGCCAGGGTTTATTTCTGGAATGTCAATTATATTCCATTGATCTATATGTTTATACTAATACCAGTATTATACTATCTTGATTATTATGGCTTTGTAGTATGCTTTGAAATCAAGAAGTGTGAATCCTCCAACTTTGTTCTTTTTCAAGATTGCTTTGGCTCTTCTGGGTTTGCTTCCATTACTGCTAATGAGAAATCAGCCTTAAATGTATTGGTCTATGGTTGATAACTATTTTCTCTCTTGCTGCTTTCAAGATTTTCTCTTTGTCTCGGTCTTAAGCAGTTTGACTATGATGTATCTAGGTATGAATCTTTATTTTTTTCTTTCTTGGGGTTTCTTGAGCTTCTTGGATCTGTTAATATTCTTCCTCAAATATGGGGTTATTTTTAGTAATTTCTTCAAGTGTTTTTCCTGATCCCTTTTCTCTCTCCTTTTCTTCTAGGACTCCTAGCATTGGGTTGGTCAAAAGGTTCATTTGTTTTTTTCCGTAAGATGGCTCTAGTATCACTTAGTTGTCTTCAACTTCATTCAAAACAATTTTGTTAGATTGTATGTGACAGCTGTCATATCATCGTGCATTTAAAAAAAGACTTATCAAAATTGGTGAATTTTTGTGTAGCCATTTTAATACTGAAGATGGAAGAAAAAAGCAACATTTTCAGCATATTATGCTTTATTATTTCAAGAAAGGTAAAACGCAGCCGAAATGCACAAGAAGATTTGTGCAGTATACGGAGAAGGTCCTGTGACTGATCAAATGTGTCAAAAGTGGTTTTTGAAGTGTGGTGCTGGAGATTTCTTGCTAGAGGTTGCTCCACGGTCAGGTAGTCCAGTTGAAGTTGACAGCGATCAAATCAAGACATTCACTGAGAACAATCAAAGTTATACCATGTGGGAGATAGCCAACATACTCAAAATATCCAAATCAAGTGCTGAAAATCATTTGCACCAGCTTGGTTATGTTAATCACTTTGATATTTGGGCTCCACATAAGTTAAGCCAAAAAAACCCTTCTTGACTGTATTTCCACATGCGATTCTCTATTTAAATGTAATGAAAATATTCCGTTTTTAAAACAAATTGTGATGGGCAATGAAAAGTGGATACTGTACAATAATGTGGAACGGAAGAGATCATGGGGCAAGTGAAATGAACCACCACCCAACCACACCAAACGCTGGTCTTCATCCAAAGAAGTTGATGTGTATATGCTGGGATTGGAAGGGAGTCCTCCATTATGAGCTCCTTTCAGAAAACCAAATGATTAATTCCAACAAGTACTGCTCCCAATTAGACCAACTGAAAGCGGCACTAGATGAAAAGCATCCAGAATTAGGCAACAGAAAATGCATAATCTTCCATCAGGATAACGCAAGACAGCATGTTTCTTTGATGACCAGGCAAAAGCTGTTACACCTTGGCTGGGAAGTTCTGATTCATCTGCTATATTTACCAGACATTGTACCTTTGGATTTTCATTTATTTCGCTCTTTACAAAATTCTCTTAATGGAAAAAATTTCAATTCCCTGGAAGACTGTAAAAGGTACACAGAGCAGTTCTTTACTCGAAAAGAAAAAGTTTTGGGAAGATGGAATTATGAAGTTGCCTGAAAAATGGCAGAAGGTAGTGGAACAAAAGGGTGAATATGTTGTTCAATCAGGTTCTTGGTGAAAATGAAAAATGTGTCTTTTATTTTTACTTAAAAAATGGAGGCAACCCAACATAAGTTGGTACACTTAATACTGTTCCACAAATCTTTGAAGTTCTGTTCATTTTTCTTTAACCTGTTTCATTCTGTCCTTTAAAATAATTTCTTTTGATCTATCTTCAAAGTCCACTGATATTTTTCCTGCAATTTCAAATGTACTGTTGAACCCATCTAGAGAATTATATTCATTTCAGTTATTATATATTGTTTCAATCCTAGAATATTCATTTGGGGTTTTTCTTTTTGTAGTTTCTATTTCTCTACCGAGATTACCTATTTACTGAAACATTGTTGTATTTTCCTTTAATTACTTGAACATATTTATAATAGCTGCTTTGAAGCCTTTGCTATATTCAACACTGGGATCCACTCAGAACCAGTTTCTATTGAATGTTATTTTTCCTGAGTATAGGTTTTACTTTCCTGTTTTTTACATATCCCATAATTTTTGGTTGAAACAGACTTTTTAGATAATATATTGTAGCAACTCTGGATTCTGTTTTATTTTTTTTAAGTTTGCTGCAATTGTGAGATCTGTTTTCCCCATGGTGTGTACTGTCTCTTTCCAGTTTTTTTATGTTTTAGCCTGGCTTCCTAGGGGTTACCCTGTATCTGCAAACCTTAGTGATAAACAAATAGCTTAGTGATAAGGAAAAGATTTCAGCATACATTATGCTCAAACACCTTGAACCCAAAAGGCTTCTACCTTTTTCTGATCAATTCATTTGGGGAGGGGTGGGTGGTACAGTGTATTTAATGTTGCAGGCAGTTCTATTTCACACTTTCACTCTTTACTAGGTTCTCTTGAGTCTGCATTGCACATGAGTGTAATTTCTCAGTCAGCCAAGGATATATAGAGAATTTCTCTCAACGCTTCCATGGCTCTTTCACTTCCAAGATCTCCCTGTTAAGTTACTAACTGGTATACCACTTGCCCCAAGGACTGCAACCTTGGGCCAGCGAAGTTACTGATTTTCTCCATTATTTTCCTCTACCAGGTTTGGCACATTTAGTTGAAAAAGTCACAAATTTTCACCCTCTGCCACACATCAAGTTCATCCCCTCTAGCAGAAAATCTACTACTTTTGGTGGCATTCTCAATCTGATAAAACTACAGTTCTTGCCGTTCAAACTAGCAGAGAGGAAGGAGAGAGAACAGGAACAGCTTTGGGCAAAGGTGCCACAAATTCCTGCTGTTCTTACCCAAAGTTCTAAAAGTTTTACAAGAGTATACACTTTTCAGTGTGTTTTCTGCCTTTAGTTAATTTCCAGAGTTGTGAGAAGGGGTTTTTTCCCCTGATAATTTTGTCCAGTTTTATATTTTTTACAGAGATGACTTGCAACCTCTTTATGCCCAAACCCGAAATTGTCTAGGTAAGCTTTTATACTTAAAAATGTTTGTATATACAAACAAACCTACAGTTAATATTAATTGCTTTACAGGATGGAATTATACAGTTTGAGTATTAAGATATTGGTGAAATTAAGAGACTTTCACATAATACTATATTACTGAAACTGAAATTAGGTTATTAAAAACAATTTGTATTTAATAATTTGATAACATGGATATAACATATTATGAAATGGCTCAGGTCTTAGTATGTTGAATGAAAAAATCAGATTAACAAGCATATATAATATAAGCTTAATATTTTAAAATATATACATACACAAAAATATAAATACATGATAAGAAACTGAAATAACATGCTTACATTACAAGATTAGAGTATTATATTTGAGTAGTAGGTGGATTTACAAGTAATATTTTCCTTCTGTACTTAAAAAGAAAATTCCAAATTCTCTACTCAACATGAATTATGTTCGTAATACTAAAAAAAGAATATATATATTTAAAGATAGAAAAAGGCTACCTACATCACTTAAGTCCAAATCACAAACTCAAATTAAAGGTGTTTCACAATTTTAAGACAGGCAAATTAATTTATATGAATATACTAATATATCATTTTAGAATACTTAAATACTATCGTTAACATAGCTAATATCATATACATAAGAAATTTTTTACCATTTTGTTCCTCTGGGTATGACAGTAGGTTTTGATCAATATTGTCAAAGTAGGTACACACCATACTGAGGTAGCTACTTTCAGGGGCAACACTTATTTACATATCCAATTTCCAGCATGTTCACTTAAAAATTAATTTTATCACTACATGGTAATCTCTTATTTTCAGGAACTATTTACTCAACTTTTGCTATGTATCATCATCATTATAAAATTACCACATTATTATTGTCTTAAATTTTTATTTCAGTGATTAGCTTCATTCCTTTTAAGACTTACCTTAGCTGCATGATATGTACTAGCTTCAAGTAAATCTTCTTTTTTAGCTTCTTTGGCAAGCAGGTTAAATCGACTTAACATTGCCGCCTTACAAAGCCGACTTGCCATTGACACACCACTTTTAAATGGGGAACTGAAGTAGAAAAGAATGAAACATTCACTAATCATTATTCAGTATTTATGTTGGCACTTGTAGGGATTAAAATCAACACAGAATCTACAAATATTTATTTCAATTATGTACAGTGCATATAGTGAAATTTTTTTACATAAAATTATTCTGAATATTTAACTTTCTGAAGTTAATTTCATTTATGAAATTATAGTTTAAGTTATCAGAGTACTGCATTAAAAATTAAAGCAGAGGATGGATATTTGGAACATTTCTTTTGTTTGAAGCAAAATTAATCTATGGTGATCCAAATTAAAACAGTGGTTCTACCAAGGATTGACTAGAAGAGGGCAAAAAAATATTTTCTGAAATGAAGAAAATGTCCTGTATTCTGACTGGGGTAATGGTTACACAGGCATGTATATAAATAAATAAATAAATAAATATATAAATATATAAATATAAAAACTCATGAAATTGTACATTTCACTCTTTGTAAATTTTGACTCACTAAAAAAGTAAATTATACACACTCACCTCACCACCCTCCATATATATGTGTGTATGTATGCACATATAGATATGTATTTTTCTATGTTTCTAATAGAAGTGGGTCCACAGATCATGAGCTTTCTTGCTATTGTAACTCTTTCCCTTCATTATATCTTCTCATTAGTTGTTCTCCTGATAGATTACAAAAATTGCCAAAATCCTTTATTCCTTCCTGTCTCCATGCTCTTTACAATGTAACTTTTCAGATTCTCCCATCACTAACTATGGTTGATTGCTCCTCCCCATGAATTTGGGCTGGCCTTGTGACTTGTTTTGGTGAATAAAATAGACTATGTGCCAGTTCCAAGCCTGGGCCTCAAGAGGCTTTGTGTTTTCATTCTCTGGGGACCCCTTCCTCTGCCATGTGAGCCTCCTAAGACTGGTCTATTAGAAGGTGAGAGAACACATGGACCAGAGCCCAGCTGTCCCTCTAAGATCAGCCAAGATGCCCTACAGCTGACCTAGAGTGGACCCCAGACACATGGGAGAGCCCGACCAAATCTAGCTCAGTTGACCTAAGGACTTGAACAGCAATAAATGTTTGTTGTTTTAAGCCACTAAATTTTGAGATAGTTTATATGCAGTAATAGTTAACATAAACGCCTATTAATGAAATGTACTAATCTCTATATATTAATTTTCCACCATCATACCTTTTTTTGGTGGTGGATTTTTAGATGATTCGCTTGGGCTTTTCAGGTATAAAATGATACCATATGCAAAAAGTCGTAATTTTACCTCCTCCTTTCCAATATTTTATATCTCTCATTTCTTTCTTTTGTTCAAATGCATTAAATAACATGTTAAATAACAGCAATAACAGTAAACAATCATGTCTTGTTTCAGATGTTAGTAGAAATGACTCTGAGATTTCATCATTAATCATGATGGCACTTTTGGACTAATAAAGATATATTTTACCCTTAACAAAAATATCTATTCCTTTTTTATTGAGTAACTTTATCTAGAATAGTTGTAGAGCTGTATTACATGTCTTCTTAGAATTTATAAAAATGAATATATGGTGTTTTTCCCTAGATCAATTAATATGACAAATTATATTAATATGAGTTTCTAATTTGGTATTATTTTTATTATGTTATTCTCACATTTCTAGAAAAAATTCCACTTAGTATTATTGTATAAAATATATTATTTTAAGGTTCTGCTTCCTAATATTTTATTTAGCAATTATGCTTGAATATAAAAGTGAGCTTGGTCTGTAACTTTTGTGGTAGGGGGACAGCAATCTTCTATTAGGTTTAAGTATCAATGATACACTTGCTTCATAAAAGTATTTGAATGTTTTCTATCTTTTTAGATAGCACTGGAAGTTCCTGCTATTTAATGGTTTATAAAATTAATCCGAACCACCTCAGAATGGTGTTTTCTTTGAAAAAGAGGTAGGGCGCCTTCTTGGTAACTTTCTCAAGAAAATAATGTTAGATATTTTTCCCTCTTCCGTACCAATTTTAGAAAAATATTTTCCTAGAAATATATGCATTGCACCCAGATTTTCAAATATATTTGCATGGTAGGGCAAAGAAGTTTCTTATGACGTCTTTTAATTTTCTCTGTAATTACTCCTTTATCATTCATTAGTATATATGAGATTAGCTACTGATTTTTTTTCACAGAATCAGTTTTTTATGATCATTTCTAACTTCTTCAGTTCTCTAGATCTTTAATTTACATTTCTAGTTTTATGAACTTCTTCATTCTGTTTATTTTCATTATTTGTTGCTATAAGCATCTAAAGAATTGGCTTTTCCATTCACTTTGCTTTAGCTATATATCCTACAAGTTCTGAAATGCAATGCACTAAATATCCGTGTTTTCTAAATATTCTAATATTTTCTAAATATTCTAAATATTCTGTGATTTCATTTTATATTTCCTCTTTGAGCCAAAAGTTGGAGAACTTCTTTTTCCCAATGAAAGTGGTTTCTAAATATTCTGATTTTGTTATTTACAGTTTGATTGCATCACAATCAGAGAACACTGCCTACATCACTTTTACTTCTTAGAATTTCAGATTTTTTTTTGTGGCCTAACATACTGTCAATTTTTGTTAATGTTCTGCAGGTTCTTGAAAAGCAGGTATATTTTATATTTTATGGTACAGAGTTTTAAAGAAATTAATCAAATCTACCTTATTGTTATTTAAGACTGTTATATTCTTGCTTATTGTTTTGTTTACTCAATCTACTAGGAACTGAAAGAGGTGAATTATTGCCTCAACTAATAGTGTATTTCTATTTATCCTTTTATTTTCTGTAATTTCTGCTTTATGAAGGTTGATACTATGTTATTTGCTGCAGTTACTCAGAACTGTTCTTCTTCGTGGATTATATTGCTAAAGTGTCCTTTGCCTTATGTAATGCTTTGGGGATGAATAATCAGATCATATCTGCTTTCTTTGCAATCACCTGGCAAGCACTTAGCCATAATAAATGAGTTAAGCTCATTTTACATTAATTTCATCTTTGTTATACTATTATGTTTTCAGTAAACAGTTTATTATTTTTTTTGGCCTTGCCATGTGGCATATGGGGTATATTAGTTCCCTGACCAGGGATCAAACCCATGCCCCCCACATTGGAAGCATGGAGTCTTAACCACTGGAGCACCAGGAAGTCCCTCAGTAAACAGTTTTTTAATGTCTTCCACAGAAGACCTGTTTTGTTTGTATGTGTGTAGTCTGTTATTAACAGAAATACACTTCTTAATGCTGACTCAATGCATAAGTAGTATAATTCATCCTAGTTGAAATAATCAATAGTATGCTTGACTGAGTTCATACCAAGAAACATTTGTATGTGATCTTAATTTAAATCTGTCTTTCACAAAGAAAGTAAATTTAGGCACTTAAACTTTTAACATTATTCATTACCACATTATAAATGTATTTTCACACTAAAAGGAGGATTTTAGTTTTACTTGATAATCAATGACAGGAATATTACAAAGAAATGTCTAAAAGGCATAATGTATTATGGCTAAGAACAAAGGCTTTGGAAATAAAATGCCCAGATCAGAATCCTACTTGTGTCACTTAATAGTTGGGTGACTTTAAGCAAGATATTTAAACTAGCTTGAATCTCAGTTTCTTTACCTGTAAAAAAAAAAACAATATCACCTAACCCACAAGGTTTTTATAAGAAAGCAGTATAACATAGTACAATAGTTCTCACACTCAAGTGTACATAAACAATATTTGGGAAAGTTGTCAAAAATACAGATTCTGGAGCCCTAAATCCAGACATTCAGATTCAGTAGGAAAAACTGAATTTTTAAAACAAATATATTATTTGCTAATGATCACTAGAGAAACAAAGGATCTGGAGACTGATTTTGAATGCTGGCTCTACCATTTACCATGTAACTTTGGTAAATTATATAACTTCTCCAGGCCTATGTTCTCATCAGGAAAAAAAAGTTTTTTAATTAGTACAATGCCTGCAACATAGTCACACTTGATAACTATTATTATTATTAATCACAATTCAAAAAATTGTATTCAAAAAACAAGATAGTTTTTAAAAATCGTATTAAAATGTATTGTTTTGCTTAATATGTGATTTTTGAAGAAATTAGTGACGCTAACCTTTCGGTGGTCTTCCCAGTTAGGCCATCCACAATCTCCAAAGAAATGTCCCCTTGTGCCCAATTCAGACTCAGGAATTTATATTCCAAGTTTGTTTGACATGGATATGCAGAAGGTACTAAACTAATATGAGGTCTGTTGACCAAGTAAAACATTGGAAGTTTTGAAGTGAGTGCATCATCAACACGTTGCTTTATAGCAATTTCTAAGCCTCTAGTATCACTGCAATTCCCATCACCTACAAAGCAAAAACAAAGTAAATACTCAGAAGTTCAATATGAAAAGACTATACTGAAAAAAAAGGATATAAATAAAAGTTTAATCGTAAATAGTTCACTTCTTTATCCTGTATCTTGCAACCTTCTCTTTCTGACTTCTACTCTCTTAGTAGCTACTTCTATACTCTTTACCAGAATCAAGACAAGGTAATAAGTCAGAATTTCCATTCAAAAAAGAATCTTCTACAGAAAATAATGAATTGACATTCCAGTGAATAAAAGCAAAAAGCCAGACCTGACCAGAAACAAATCAGTACTTTTACAGGGTTCTGCCAGAGAGAACTGGCTCATTCTGTCTTGATTTCTAAGATTACAGCATGAAACCAGCACATAATGTAGCAGATATATGTAGCTGAGAAATAGTTGGTTAAAGTGTGTTATTTTTCCACATCTGAGAGCCACAGCTTGCAACTGTTCCAGTACCACATGGCTTAGTTTCACAACATGAAGTACTTTAAAGAATGACCATTTCTGATTATAACTGTGGCCAATGCCAAAAGCTTTGAGTTCTCAGTTAAAATTACTGTTGAAGAAGAAAGCTCAAAAAGATGATTAGTATAAGAAAATGGGCTGCGTCAAACTTAAAACAGAAGTTAGGGAACAGTCATTCCTATTTAAAAATTAATAATTCCAAAGCAGATCTCTTTCCTCCTTAGAGGGTCTGAAGTTCTCACAACAAGAGAATCTTTATATACCAGTAGACATATTTCACAGATAAAGTTTTGTTTTCACATCACTGGAACTGTTGAGATGGCTACTGGGCTTACACTCACTATGATTACTTGGGAACTAGAAAATGATGTAAAAAGAACATGAGTTGCTTCTGACACTCTTTTTCTAAGCACTCCTTTCAATGTTCCAAATCAAGAGATACTGACTAATACAGGCTAGTTAAGTTAAAGATATACTTAGACGTAGGAAAAAAGAAGAAATAAGGTCTGTAGAATAGTCATTGTATCTATAATGAACAGAAAACATGGGTTAAAAAAAATGTTACGTATTACACACTGTACTACAGACTAAGTGTGTCCCCACAAAATTCATATACTGAAACCTGATCCCCAATGTGATGGTATTTCGAGGTGAGACCTTTGCAAGGTGATTAAGTTATGAGGGTCAGAGCTCTCATGAATGGAATTGGTGCCCTTATGATAAAAGAGACCCTAACCCCTCCCACCATAGGAGGACATACTGAGAAGACAGTCATCTATGAAGCAGAAAGCAGGTCCTCAACAGATAATGAATCTCTCAGCCCTTTGATCTTGGACTTCCCAGCCCCCAGAACCGTGAGAAATAAAAGTTTATTGTTTAATCCATGCAGTCTATGGTATTCTTTTGTTTTTTGGTAGCAGCCCAAACAGACTAAGACATACTGTAATAAGATAACGACATTGGTTGTGCATAAAACAGCAAGATAACATTTGGAAAAAGAAAAATAAAAACCTACCAGTGACTCCACATTAAGATTCTCTAAACATCAAATTGTTTCACCTAGATGTTTTAACGTGGTGGTATAAAATTTAATAGAAAAAAATCAAGTATATTAATATTTTATTAGAAATTTTACTTTCTCCATTTATATATGTATGCTTTAATTATTAGCTATACCTGAGGTATGATTTTAATTTTATCTTGAGGCTAAATCCTGTTCCCGGGAAAATATATCCCTAAAATTATATCACATAATTTCGATTTGATTCATCTAAAATGATTTGAAATAATAACATAAAACTCAAAGATTAAAGGCAAAGGTTAAATCTTAGTAAAGACTATAGCAAACCTGACCTGAGAACTTTTCTGCATGAATAGGTCTCAGATGGGATTGATATATATACACTAAATATGTATAAAATGGATAACTAATAAGAACCTGCTGTATAAAAAAATAAATAAAATTAAATTAAAAAAAAAAAGAAAAGTTCTCAGGACCTTAGTCTACCATAAGTTAATATAAGTGAACAGAAACAGCTGCTGAAACAGGTAATGAAGGCATACCTCAATTTATTGCACTTTGCTATATTGCACTTTGCAGATATTACGATTTTTACAAATTGAAGGTTTCTGGCAACCTTGTGTTGTCAGATGATGTTTAGCCTTTTTCAGCAATAAAGTACTTTTCAATTAAGGTAAGTACGTTGCTTTGTTTTAGACATAACGCTATTGCACACTTAACAGACTATAGTATAGTGTAAACATAACTTTTATGTGCACTGGGAAACCAAAAACTTCGTGTGATTCACTTTATTGTGATATTGACTTTATTATGGTGGTTTGGAACTGAACCCACAATATCTTTGAGGTGTGCCCATACAAACTGAAGCTGCATTAATAAAAATACAGTGTCTAAGTCAAAGAATTCAGCATTATTATAGAACTATGCACTGCTCATATCATATCTGAAACATCATATTTAGTCTGAGGCATTACATTTTAACACCGCCACCCACAAATTACAGAACAGCTGGAGAAAACAAATCATGATCCTGTGAAACACAAATGATGTCTAAATAGGAGAAGACATGAAGGCAGAAGCATCTTATCTTTGTATTCTTAATTCTCATTCTATATTTTATGTGAATGGTGCCCCTGAGAGTTATTTAACAGTGCACAGCACCTAGCATATAGTAGGTGGCTCAATAAACACCTGATGAAAAAGGAACATAAAAGATTAGATTATCAGAGAGCAGTAATCATCAATTCTGGATACACATTAGAATCAGTAAGGATGGGGATATTAATACTAATGCCATTCCCATATTATTTTAAAAGCTATCCAGGTGAACCTGAAGTGCAACATGAGTAAAGAATAATAGTTAAAATTTATTTTTCAAGTGTTCCAGGCAGAATTGGTATTAAGAAGAAAAATAAAAGCATTTTAAAAAATAAAACATGCTGACTCAAAGCATTTATCCAGGAAACATTTATTGACCTCCTGGTACAAACCAGACCAAGATGAGTGTCGCAAAGCACCTGCCTTTCAAGAGTGTCAAGTTTAGCAGACACAATAGCGGGATTCTAGTCACTGGCTAGGCTCAGACAAAGCTGTCAGAGCTCAATTTAATACAAAAGGCAGAAGCATGAGAAGTTATGAAAACTGAGTATGGGTCCAGGCTCTGCCAGCAGGCAAACTGAATGATTTTGGGCACGTATTTTTATTAACATTCTAAACCTCTTATTACTGCCCTGAAAACAAAAAAAAGAAAGAAATGAACAACAGAATCTCTAAGGTTATCACATGCTTCTTAAAAGTTCATGAACTATGTTGAAAATAGATTCCTTCACTAAGAGGGAATCAGAATTTAGTATTCCCTATAATGGAATTGTACAATTCAAATTAGCGTATTGAAAAGGACTCCTGAATGGAAACACCTCTGGATAAACATTCTTGAGGTATTTATTCAGAAAACTATCTTAACAGGATAACAAATTTGCAAATACACCTTAAAAGGCTTGAAAACGAATATAAATCCAGCTCTTTTAATAACTAAGCAAAATGAATTTTTTTCCAGATTACTCTGGATTATTTTCTATACAAATAATAGTGCCTTTTTATAGTGCAAGCTTAAGACATTTTTCTTAAAAAAGAAAGACTATCACCATAAAATGACAAAATGAATTATCTGAGAACATCTACAGTATAAAATTAGTTTCCAAAAACTTCCCGTTGTGGAGCACAGGCTCTGGACGCGCAGGCTCAGCGGCCATGGCTCACGGGCCCAGTAGCTCCGCGGCATGTGGGATCTTCCCAGACCAGTGTACAAACCCGTGTCCCCTGCATCGGCAGGCGGACTCTCAACCACTGCGCCACCAGGGAAGCCCTCCAAAAAGTTTTTGAAAAGTTAAATGAAGTCTTATAATAATCTCTCCATTTTTAATTGATCTACTAAAATATCTTAGGTTTTTCAAGCATCAAAATAAAGAATTGCAAAAGATTTCATAAGACTTAAGAGAAAAGGGGACAAGGTCATTATCATCAAATAATTAGATTTAATCTGCATTGTCATTTAGTTCAGAATTAAAGGGAAACAAATTTCAATTCTAAAGAGTAATTTTTAAAAACAATTGGAGCTATCAATTAATGGAATAGATTGTCTTTAAATCTTATACTCCACATTATTGGATTCTTTTAAGGTAGGGTTAGATGATCCTCTATCAGAAATGGCATAAAAAGAGTTTGTGAAGACATACAGATGGCCAAGAGGCACATGAAAAGATGTTCAACATCGCTAATTACCAGAGAAATGCAAATCAAAACTACAATGAGATATCACCTCACACCAGTCAAAATGGATATCATAAAAAAATCCACAAACAATAAATGCTGGAGAGGGTGTGGAGGGAAGGGAACCCTCCTACACTGTTGGTGGGAATGTAAATTGGTACAGCCACTATGGAGAACAGTATCGAAGTTCCTTAAAAAACTAAAAATAGGGACTTCCCTAGTGGTCCAGTGGCTAAGATTCTGCACTCCCAATGCAGGGGGCCCAGGTTTGATCCCTGGTCAGGGAACTAGATCCCGCATGCTGCAACTAAGACCCGACACAGCTAATAAATAAATAAATAATTTTAAAAAACAAAACTAAACTAAACTAAAAATAGAGCTACCATATGATCTGTAATCCCACTCCTGGGCATATATCTGGAGAAGAACATGGTCTGAAAGGATACATGCACCCCAATGTTCACTGCAGCACTGTTTACAATATCCAAGACATGGAAGCAACCTAAATGTCCATCGACAGAGGAATGGAAAAAGAAGATGTCGTACATACATACAATGGAATATTACTCAGCCATTAAAAAGAATGAAATAATGCCATTTGCAGCAACATGGACAGACCTAGAGATTGTCATACTGAGTGAAGTAAGTTTGACAGAGAAAGAGAAATATCACATTATATCACTTATATGCGAAATCTGAAAAGGAATGATACAAATGAACTTATTTACAAAACAGAAACAGACTCACAGACTTAGAGAACAAACTTATGATTACCAGGGGGGAAGGGTGGGGGAAAGGGATAGTTAGGGAGTTTGGGATTGACATGTACACACTGCTGTATTTAAAATGGATAACCAACAAGGACCTACTGTATAGCAAAGGGGACTCTGCTCAATATTATGTAACAACCTAAACGGGAAAATGTATAACTGAATCACTTTGCTGTACAATGGAAACTATCACAACATTGCTAATCAACTATACTCCAATGTGAAATAAAAAGTAAGAGTTTGTATAATAAGTGAGAAGCTGTACTACACGACTAGTTCAATAAACTCTTAAGATTCTTTTAGCTGTACATATCACACTTTTAAGTATACAGACACTCTGAGTATTTCTCAATGTGAGCCATTCAAATCATCTGTATCAGAATCACCTGGTGGTGCTCTTTTAAAACATATATTCCTGGGGCTATCCCCCAGACATACAGTACAGATCTTAAGAGGCTGAGAAATCTGCATTTTTAACAAACATTAAAATCTGTTTAGGTTATGCCAGACAGAACACCAATTAATTAACTTTAGATATGTTCCATAAAGATGCAAAGAAAGAGATCAGAAGCAATTTTACCAAGTTTTATAGTATTTTTATTGCTACCTGGTATTCCTACTGCTACGTGCAAGATGACAGGCAAAATGATGAGGTCTAATTTTTAAGCCCCTGTCCAAACCACTAAATACTAAATAATTCTAAAAGAATCTAAGATTCTACCCTTTTAAGAAACTAAATATAGTACGGAGTTATGTCATACAAAAGGCAAACTGTAAAATATCTTTCTTCACAAAAGTCAAAGAAAGCCTTGCATGCCAAACTGTGACTCTAGAGAATGCACAGACATTTATTAGACATTTTGTAGACACTTATCAAGAACAAAAATTGCCTTTCCTAAAGAAGACTGAGAAAAGTTTGAAATGTCTGAGAGAGTATCTGAACTGACTAAAAGAAAACATCATAAAGCATAATTTTGGTATCCAAGTTAAATCTAAGAAATAAATCATCTACAAGAATAAATATTTGGAAAAAGAGTTAGAAATAACCACTTTTTAGGGTGTGAGCAAACAGGCACTCTCAAATATTGCTAGTGAGAATATGATTTGGAGGGTAACTTGGTAATAGTTTTCAAAATTGCAAATGCATACCTCTTTGGCCTGCAACTCTACTTCTAGGAATTCATTTTATATAGATATATTTTACATGTGTCAATAACAAGTGTAATAAGGTCATGATTCACAATAGCATTTGGTAGCTGCAAAAGATTAAAAACAATCTAAAGTTCCATTAACCCACAACTGGTTAAATAAATTATAATACGTTTGTACAAAGAAATACCATACAGAGAGTTATGAATTATAATAATGAAAAATTCTTCATATACTCATATGGAAAAATTTCCAAGACACTTTGTTAAATGAAAAGAGCAAGGTGCAGAAAAGTATGAATTGTATGATCCCACTGGTGTAAAATACAAAAAAATATGCATATACTTTTATAAGCATAAACTACCTTTGGAAAGAAAAACAAACTAGTAACAATGGATGCCACAGAGGTAAAATGGGTTCCTAGGGCCCTAGGATAGAAGGAAGACTTGACTGAATACCCTTTTGAATCTTTTGAATTGTGAACCAAGTAATAGGTTTCCTAAACAAAGAAAATAAGCTTAATATTAGAAAAATAAATAATTACTATTTCATTTTTATCATTTATTAAAGCCAAACCAAACAAAAATGGGAAGAAAATAAAATATTCTGTATATACATGGAACTGAAAAAATACTGTCTATAGGAGAAATTCCTAAAGAAATGGGTATAAAATGTATAGAACAACAACAAAAAAACCCCACAAGAATAAAAGAAACAGCACTTTCTAAAAGTAAAACTACTTCTCATGCGAGGATCCAAAGCTTGCATATGGGCCATCATTACGAAAAATTAGCAGTAAACAAAGAACAGCCAAGTAATGGTAGTGTTTAAATTGTTTCCCAAGGGTAACTGAAGCTTTGAAACTCTTAGGGCTTTATGAAAACTATAGAATTGAGTGCCCAAAATGTCTGTCAATGGGATAATATCTGGAAAACCATTCAAATATAAATACAGCATTCTATAATAGCCCCTACCAAAGAAAGAAATAAATTACTAGTTCACATTATTTGTGTTCTAGTTACTTCCCACTCACTTCACAAATCAAAAGGATCCAAATCATAACCAAATGTATAAAAAAAGCATAAAAGTAAGAAAGAACCAAAATGGGCATTTAATATTTTTTATTTCAGGAATAACTAAATATAAGCTTTTAAATTTGATAAGTTCAAAGAAGCATCTTCTTCCAAAAGAAAGGGAAAAATTGAATACTGTACAAACAAAAGTATACATTCAAGACAGAATACATGTAATTGCCTAACATAAAATATTGATTCTTATTAGCCTCCTGATAAGATGGCAAAAGTCATATTATACTAAATGTGATGACCAGTTACCATGAAATGAAAACCTCAACAAAACAGTGGATCTGAATTTTACCTTAAGTAAAGCTTCATGCATGCAAATTGTGATTTTACACTGGTAAATAAAATATAGTGAAATGACTTAGTGAAAGAGGCCAAGAGGTACTGTAATCCAACTCACCAACAAGTATATTGCTGATATAAACTGGCTGTATAAACTGACTCAGCAATGCTCCCTGTACACCAAGCACTCCCCATCTCATCAGTTTGTCACTTGAGGCCATGCTGCTTATTCTATTAACAACATCTGCAGGGCAGTAGACAGTCAGATGAATTTTGCCTTCAACAGCCACATGGAGACTCAGCTCTTCATGGGCTTCAAATGCAGACACAGAACGTGGATTAAGACGCCTAGAGAAAGAAAAGAAAGTTTCTTCCTTTAAAAACCAAAGCCCCGAGCTGATCTCCCTGTGCTATGCGGCCAGCTAGAGGGGTGGGATAGGGAGGGGGGGAGGGAGGGAGAGGCAAAAGGGAAGAGGTATGGGGACATAGGTATATGTATAACTGATTCACTTTGTTATGAAGCAGAAACTAACACATCATTGCAAAGCAATTATACTCCAATAAAGATGTTAAAAAAAAACCCAAAACCCAAAGCTGACAAACTAAAATCTGCATGTACCTAAGAACTGTTCTCAAATATATTTAACTTGCCAGTGTACATTTAATTCCAGTAACAGAAATAGATGCAAACCCAAAGCAAGGTAGGATGGAGTGACTTCGTTCCACAAAATTAAAACCAAACAGAAATTAACCATATTTAGAGCTTCCAGCAAGGATAAATTTCATATTATTGCCATTCTTTATGTCCCTTAAAATCAAATGAAAACCTAATTTTTGTCCCTGCCATAGTTTGTGAGTTATTTCCTTTCTCCATATTAAAATTTTTAAACACTACAAAATTAGAGAATGAAAAAAAGAAAACTGACAATTTATATTCAAGATTCACCTCCAACAAAATATGTTAAAACAGTAAAATCTAAAATTATTTTTCTTGAGGTTTCTCTCAAGAGAAACACTCACCCTTGTTTTCAAAGGTGTTACTGGAAGGCTTTTAAACAAACTATAAACTGCAGTTATCTCTAGATGGTTGGAGTGAAGTGAATTTTACTTTCTTTTTTGTGCTTGCCTGTGTTGTTCAAACTTCATGCTAACTGATGCTACCCATTCATCAAGATAATGAAGTTTTGGCCACAGACTGACCAGAAGAATAGACTGCATTCCTTAACTCCTGTGTTAGTGTGTGAAGAGCGTATAAATCCATACTTCCTAAAGTTTATGAAGTATTACAACTAGAAAGGAATAGAAGATTTTCAACAGCATCAAAAAGAGAGCAGTGAAGTACATGGAATACTTAAGTAGTAGTAATGGACCAGACTGAGTGGAGGGAAGGAGAAAGAATTTGTGGTCTTTCAGCCTTCAGGCTCTTGCAGCCTACAAATAACACCTCAAGGCTGGAGGAAGAATATGGATAGATATGAATTTACTTGTTCTTTTGCTGTATGGATTCAGAATGCATGATATGGCCATCCTAGATTCCTTCAAAAACAGCTTCCATAATACTTACAATTGTGACTTAATCTGGGCTGATCCTTTAGGCAACTGGTTCATATAGAGATAAATGTTGATATTCTGCTTGAGAGTGAGCAGATTAGAAGCTGGTTCTGTACAAAATATTGATTTTTCCAACACAGCAGGATTTTTGCTGTAGAAGAGTAGAAGTTGTCTATAAAAGTACCTAAAATTAATGAGATAGAGCTTCATCAAGTAAGAAAATTTAAAAATGAAGTATCTTAAACAAACATTATATTCATGTTATGAACAATGTCCCTATATGCCAAAAGTTTTGATATTGATAGGAACTTGTAAAATAATCTTAGCCTTACTTAATGAAGAATTAAGTCCCTTGATAAGTCTTCAGTTAGAGCCCAGTCTGCCCGGTGACCTGCCTTAAAGCATCATTCCTCGACTACCACTCCACTCTCATTTCACATTAAAGTACTCAACTATCATTTTCTGCAAAAGACCCATTTCTCTACTGATTCCTCCCTTCTTTCTTAGACAGCTCTGCTCCCAGCCTCCTAGGTGAAGTATCAATTTTCTGCTTTACTTCTATTTTCCCTTCCATGCCAAAACAGGCAGACAACGACTGTGGTTCCCACTGCTTAGTGGTTCTGAAGACAAAAACACAAGAGCGTAGGAATAACATAACAAAGCCTGTAAGTTAAATTAAGAAGTGAAATAGATTTCCTGAAACTACTAATCAAATCAGAGGACAAATACTATTTTGCTTATTTAAAAAACCATGATTTTAATCCTATCATCAGAAATATATAATAAAATATTAAGCACCAGTATAAATGACAGTGCCAAGCATGACAAGAAATAAACACAAAGAGGTAGTTTTAAAGGGGTCAAATAATTCACTAAGCACCAAGGGGGATGGGAGGACAATTAGTTGCATTACCTTCATGGACTTCCCAAAATCTTTCCTTTTAAGATTATAGGATTCTTTCCTTATTATTAGAGATATATACTTAAGTTTTTCCGATAAAATAATACGTGTAAATTTGTTTTAAAATACTCCAGTAAAGAAATACCACCAACAAAAAGTGAGGGTGCATAAATTAAATAAGATCAACAGAATCCTAATAACTGGATATGCTAATAATTGGATATGATCATTGGGTATTGGTATCAGAATGCTGACAACTGAATGATGGAATTAACTATCTGATTCTCACTTTTGTTTGAAAAATTCGATTAAAAATGTTTTATAAAAAGTAAACTTAGTGACTTAAGAGAACAAAAGCTGGTAACTACTGCAGGAGGTAATGCTCATGTCCCACTTTTCATGTTTTTACAGAAAAGGAATTCCAAAGAGTAACATTCTTGGTTTATTTCTCTACTATCTGCTAATTATGCCTCTTACAAGGAGCAGAGTGACTGATAAGTTTGGAAAAAGAAACTAGGCATCCTCACTTTAGCCCCTTTCTCTCTTTCTCTCTGAGATCTGCCAGCCTAAAAAATACTTTATCGACACTCTGCTATATCGTAAACTTTGTACAGACCTCATGAGTGGAAACTCATTGATTTCTGCCTTTGGATAAGTATGATTAATTCAGGGGTGATATATTACCAAGCCTACTTGGTCCAGATCTAAAGCTATACTCTCCAATTACTTTTATCAGTAATAAAGACAGTATTTTTCTCTTAAAAAAAAGGTTGTATGACTCTTAAAACTGAGTTCATAAGCTCTTGATAATAGAAGCCACAAAATTCATAGGCTAGACACTGAAATTACTATAAGGTTTCCAAAAGTGACAGGAAAATATCAGATGGCTTGGATAAGTAAGAGACTGCCATACCCTTGGCTCAATGATGAGTAAAATTCCATTTGTAAATAAAGACATATATATGTGATTGCTTTAGGCTAAGAGCATTAATATTTGATGGCATTAAACATATCTGTTAAATATTAACAGATATATTTATATATATTTAATATATTTAATTAAATATATTTGTTACCTTACCTAAGGAGAGATCTCCTTGCCGTAACAACAGCATGAGTATCGTGCAACACTCTTCCGTTTGGCTTAATGCACTGACTATAATTGTATTCACCTGTGCCTATAGCTACAACTTCGCGCTGTCCAGCTGAAAGGAAAGGTTAACAGTAGCAGGTTATTTTTACCTTCCTCTTCCCTATGTTCAACCTCCACCTCTTTCTTACCATTTTTTTTCCCATTTATATTCAACAAACTTTTATTTGAGCATCTAGTAAATGCCTGGTGTAAAAAGAGAGTAGGTTAAATGAATTAATTACAACGGTAGTTCAATGAAAAAGTCTACCTTACCATTTTAAAGTTAGTAAAATATATTGACCAAAAAGTTGGAAAAATAATTCCACAATTTCAAATAAGAGTTTGAGAGTCTTCTAGGAAGCAAAATTTAAAAACTACTTCAATAGTATCACAATTTAAAAGGCAAATGTTTTATATTATACTTTATCTACATTTCTACTACAATCAATAGAATCATTTTTTGCTGTACTCCATTTGAGATTTCTTTGAAACTCTATGCTCAGAAGATAGTTTTTTCCTTTCACCTCCTACCTATGTGGCCTTTCTATATCCTAGTTGCTAGATCATTGTTCTTTTTTCTCTAAATATTCTTCTCTGAGTACCTATCTCATGCTATAGTTTACCTCTGTGTTGATGATTTCAGAAAATCTCTAGTCTTAGTCTTTCAAAGTTCAGTTCCACATCTGCAACTACCTAAGAAAGGACTTCCATTAATTCCACAAAAATTGTTGCAGTCCTACCAAATACTAGGCAGTGAAATAGATGCTAGGAATCAAACACTGATTAAGACAGGCCCTCATGAAGCTTCTAATAGGAGAGAAGAAAAAAAGACTAAAACCACAAATTGTAATAAAAGCTTTGAAGGAAACAGATACACGGCTAATTTAAAGAATATTAGGAGGAAAGATTACCTCATGAAGACCAGTTGCAGAATCCCTCCTTATGAAACTGAAATTTAAGTTTCATTATGAGTGAGCAGCAAAAGGAGTGGGGTAAAGGATTCCAGTAAGGTCCAAGAAGCTGAATTAGGGGCTCTGTTACAGTAGTCCAGGTCAGAGATAATGACTTAAGACTCAAATGATGGAGGTTAAATGAAAAAAAAAGGAAGATCAGACCTGAGATAGAGTTTGAGGATATAATAAACAGGACTTGAAGATAAATTGTAAGATGTTAGGGGAAGGGATAAATAATGGATGACTTAGATTTTTAGCAGCTGGATGGATGCCATTTACTGAGATAAAGGCAGCTGGAGGAGTAGGATTAGATGAGAAAAGTAAAAATGTTCTATTATCTCTAATGTATTGGGTTGGTCAAAAAGTTCTAGTATTGGTGTGGGATATGGGGTGATATAAGGGAATTGTATAGTGTCAGTGTAAGTTCTGGAATGGTGATCTATGTTCTGAGTTATAATGGGCAGTAGTGTAGCCAAGAGCTCAGCTTCTTTCTCTGTAACTCAAACTGCAATGTTTCAGGGAGATACTAGAGTTTGATAATGTAGGAAAAAGAGGGAATAACCAAAAGAAGAAATTCACCAAGATGTAAGAGGAAATGGCAGGCAAGCCTACCCTGTCCTCCACTGGGCTCACAGCCACCACACAGGGTCTGGTCTTATAGCCAACTGGGTCAGGGGCCAGGCCTGCCTACCCACATGCCCAGAGTAGTAGGCCTCACCACAACAGAAGGGCACACACATTCTAAATAGAGGGCACCCCTAGAGTATACAGCCCTGGTGACCAGAGAAGAATGTGTTGCTGGGCCCCATAGGATGTCTCCTACAAAAGGCTACTTCTCCAAGAGGGGGAAATGTAACTGAACTACCTAACACACAGAAACACATAGAGAATTGGGCAATACAAAGAGACAGAGAATTATGTTCCAAACGAAGGAATAAGACATAACCTCACAAAAAGAACGAAATGAAGTGGAGATAAGCAATCTACCTGATTAAAGAGTTCAAGATAATGATCATAAAGATGGTCACTGAAGACAGGAGAAGAATGGATGAACACAGAGGTAGAAAATATAAAGAACCACCAAACAGAGCTGAGGAATACAATAACTAAAATAAAAAATACACTAAAAAAATCAACAGTAGATTAGCTAGTACAGAGGAACGAATCAGCAATCCGGAAGACTAAGTGGTGGAAGTCACCTAAGCTAAAGAGAAAAAAAAGAACTTAAAAAATGAGGATAGTTTAAGACACCTCTGAAACAATACCAAGCATACTAACATGTGCATTATAGGGGTCCCAGAAGGAGAAGAGAGACAGAAAGGGGCAGAGAACTTATTTGAAGAAATAGTAGCTAAAAACTTCTCTAACCTGGGGAAGAAAATAGAAATCCAGGTCCAGGAGTCACACAGTCTCAAAAAGGTGAACTGAAAGAGGTTCAAACCAAGACACATTATAATTAAAAAGGAAAATATTAAAGATAAAGCAAGAGAATAGCAGAAAGAGAAAGGCAACTAGTCACATACAAGGGAACTCCTATAAGACTTTTAGCTGACTTTTCAGCAGAAACTTTGAAGGCCAGAAGGGAGTGGCACAATATATTCAAAGCAATGAAAGGAAAAGAACCTACATGAAAGGAAAAAACCTACGGTAGAGGATACTCTACCTGACCAGGTTATCATTTAGATTTGAAGGAAAGATAAACATTTTACAGATAAGCAAAAACTAAAAGAGTTCAGCACCAAAAAATCAGCTTTACAAGAAATGTTAAAGGGACTGCTCTAAACAGAAAAGATAACAATTAGAAATATGAAAAGTAGGAAAGGAAAAATTTCACTGGTAAAGGCAAACATACAGTAAAGTTGACAGATCAGCCACTTATAAAATTAGTAGGAAGGTTAAAAAACAAAAGCAGTAAAATCATCTATAGCCACAACAAGTAGTTAAGGGATACACATGCCAAAAAGATGTAAAATACATTAACCTTTGGGGGGAGTAAAAATACAGGGTGATTAGAATGCATCTGAACTTGAGAGATCATCAACTTAAAATACCCATATATATATATATATATATATATATATATAAAACCGATAATACAGATACACACACAAAAGAGGGAAAGGAATCCAAACACAACCACTAAAGACAGTCATCAAATCACAAGGGAAGAAAGCAAAAGAAGGGACAAAAAAGAACTACAAAAATAACCTGAAAACAAGTTAACAAAATGGTAATAAGTATATATCTATCAATAATTACTTTAAATGTAAATGAACTAAAAGCTCCAATCAAAACACATAAAGTGTCTGAATAAGAAAACAAGATCCGGGCTTCCCCGGTGGCGCAGTGGTTGAGAGTCCACCTGCCGATGCTAGGGGACACGGGTTCATGCCCCGGTCCGGGAAGATCCCACATGCCGTGGAGCGGCTGGGCCTGTGACCCATGGCCGCTAAGCCTGCACGTTCGGAGCCTGTGCTCCGCAACGGGAGAGGCCACAACAGTGAGAGGCCCACGTACCCCAAAAAAAAAAGAAGAAAATAGAAGAAAACAAGATCCACATATATACTACCTACAAGAGACTCACTTCAGATCTAAAGACACACACAGATTGAAAGTGAAGGGGACAAAGGTATTCCATGAAAACAGAATGAAAAGAAAGCTGGAGTAGCAATACTTATTATCAGACAAAACAGACTTTAAAACAAAGACAGTAAAAAGACAAAAGAGGACACTACACAATGATAAAGGGATCGATCCTAAAAGTATATATAACATTTGTAAATGTAAAGCACTCAACATAGGAGCACCTAGATATATAAAGCAAATATTAATAAATGTAACAGGAGAAACTGACAATAATACAGTAGTAGTAGGGGACTACACCCCACTTACATCAATGGCCAGACCATCCAGACACAAAATCAATTAGAAAACGCCGGTTTTGGATAACACATCAGACCAGATGGAATTAAACATATATGGAACATTTCATCCAAAATAGCAGAATACACATTCTTTTCAAGGGCACGTGGAACATTCTCCAGGACAGGTCACATGCTATGCCACAAAATAAGTCTCAATAAATTTAAGAATACTGAAATCATATAAGGCATCTTTTCCGACCACAACCCTATGAAAGTGGAAATCAATCACAAGAAACAAGAGCACAAAAAAGCACAAACAGGTGGAGTCTAAACAACATGTTACTAAACAATCAATGGATCACTGAAGAAATCAAAAAGGAAATAAAACAATACCTGGACACAAATGAAACTGCAAGCACAATAACCCAAAACCTATGGGATGTAGCAAAAGCAGATGTAAGATTAGGAAATGAAAACAAGTCTACTTCAGGGCTTCCCTGGTGGTGCAGTGGTTGAGAATCTGCCTGCCAATGCAGGGGACACTGGTTTAAGCCCTGGTCTGGGAAGATCCCACATGCCGTAGAGCAACTAAGCCTGTGTGCCACAACTACTGAGCCTGCACTCTAGAGCCCGTGAGCCAGAACCACTGAGTCCACATGCCACAACTACTGACGCCCGCACACCTAAAGCCCAGGCTCTGCAACAAGAGAAGCCACTGCAATGAGAAGCCCACACGCCACAATGAAGAGTAGACCCCACTCGACGTAACTACAGAGGGCTGGCATGCAGCAACAAAGACCCAATGCAGCAATCAATCAATCAATCAATTAATAAATAAAATAAACTATAAAACTTCTAAAAAAATTAGAAAAAAACAAGTCTACTTCAGGAAACAAGAAAAATCTCAAATCAATCATCTAACCTTACACCTCAAAGAACAAGAAAAATAGATATAGCCAAACCTAAAGTTAGAAGAAAAGAAATCAGAAAGAACAGAGCAGAAATAAATGAAATAGAGAATAAAAAAAAAAAAAAGAAAAGATCAATGAAACTAAGAGTTGGTTCTCCGAAAAGAAACAAAATTGATAAACCTTTAGCCAGATACATCAAGAAAAAGAGAGAAGGCCCACATAAATAAAATTGGAAATGAAAAAAGGGAAGTTACAACTGACACCACAGAAATACCAAGAATCATAAGAGATTACTCTGAACAATTATATGCCAATAAAATTAACAACCTATAAGAAACAGATAAATTCCTAGAAACATACAATCTCCCAAGACTGAACCAGGAAGAAACAGAAAATATGAACAGACCAATTACTAGTGATGAAATTGAATCAGTAATTAAAAAACTCCCAACATACAAAAGTCCAGGACCAGATGGCTTCACAGGTGACTTCCACCAAACATTTAGAGAAGAGTCAATACCTATTCTTCTCAAACTATTCCAAAAAATTGAAGAGGAGGGGTCACTTCCAAACTCATTCTATAAGGCCAGCATTACCCTGACACCAAAACCAGACAAAGATACCACAAAAAAAGAAAATTACAGACAAATATGCCTAAACACAAATGCAAAAAAATCTTCAGCAAAATATTAGCAAACCAAATTCAACAATACATTAAAAGAAGGATCATACACCATAATCAAGTGGGATTTATTCCAGGGATGCTAGGATGGTTTAATATCCACAAATCAATCAATGTGACACACCACATTAACAAACTGAAAATTAAAAAGCATATGATCATCTCAATAGATGCAGAAAAAGGTTTCAGCAAAATTCAACATCCATTTATGATTAAAAAAAACTCTCAACAAAGTAGGTAGCAACAGAACATACCTCAACATAACAAAGGCCATATGTGACAAACGCACAGCCAACATCATACTCAATGGTGAAAAGCTGAAAGCATTTCTTCTTATATCAGAGGAATAAGATAAGGATACCCACCCTCCCTACTTTTATTCAACATAGTATTGGAAGCCCTAGCCACAGTAATCAGACAAGAAAAAGAAATAAAAGGAAAACAAATTGGATCAGAAGAAGTAAAACTGTCACTGTTTGCAGATGACATACTATATACAGAAATCCTTAAAGACTCTACCAAAAAACTATTACAACTAATAAATGAATTCAGTAAAGTTGCATGATACAAAATTAATGTATAGAAATCTGTTGCATTTCTATACACTAATAATGAACTATCAAAAACACAAATTAAAAAAGCAACCCCATTTAAAATTGCATCAGAAAGAATAAAATACATAGGAATAAATCTAACCAAGGAGGTAAAAGACATACTTAGAAAACTGTAAGACGTTAATGAAGGAACTGAAGTTGACAACAAATAAATGGAAAGATATACCATGCTCAAGGACTGGAAGAAGTAATATTCTTAAAATGACCATACTACCCAAGGCAATCCACAGACTCAATGCAATCCCTATCAAAATATCAACAACATTTTTCACAGAACTGGAACAAATAATTGTACAATTTGTATGGAAACACAAAAACACCCAAATAGCCAAAGTGATCTTGAGACAGAATGATAAAGCATGGAGGTATCATGCTCCATGATTTCAAACTAAAGTTGACCCTTGAAAAATCATATATATCTTCTCCCCACCTAGGTCACAAAAAATCATTAAGAACCAAATATCAAATTGTTTTTGTATCATCTATAATATTCAGAGATGACTATAAAATTCAAATCTGTTTAATTAATGATCAATCTAGAATATTACAGGATAAATAAAAAATGTCATTGGAATCACATAATATTCACAGGAAAAAACATAGATTCATGATTTTTCACTTTAATCTTTTATTATTTGAAAGTGAAGAAAATGTTAATTTTTATAGAGTCTCTCTCAATATTTGTTATAATGGGGTTAGATTTCAAGATGGTAGTGACTCCAACACAGTTACTGATTAAAATATTAGGTTATTTTACCATTCTGCAGTTCTCTATTGGTTCCTATTCAGTATACTTTATCTCTACCTTTGAGAATCTTTGTGTTTAATGACCCACACCTACTAGAAAGGGCCACTTCAAATCAATGCAGCACCACTGTCAACAGGGGCAAAGATAGTTAATTAAAATATTACCATTGCGTAGTTCAGATCATTAAGTTACTTAATAGCTTTTGTACAAATGAACACATCCCAAGTACTTGCACTTACCTCTTTCAATTATAAAAGCAGCTAATGAGTTGCTACATTTCAGACACTCTGAATGATTAGAAATTAGTTGATAAAATGTTTCTTTAACGATCTGTGAAATCTTTGCAAACTGAGTATGTCTCCCTTCTAGAAAAAAAAAATCAAATGCAATATGAATTTGAAGAACACTGTGCTTTCTCCCAGGGGTCTCTATTATTCCTCTTATAACCTTTCAATTGAATGAGTTAATTTATAGAGATATGTAAGCAAATTTATAATTTATGTCATGATTGATTTTAAAGTATTCCATTCTAAAAGAACACAAGTTATTGAGCTTTTTGGATTCTTGTAAAAAGATATATAAGTATTACATATTAGAGGATTACTAATTTATAATTGATAAAACATTCAAAAGTCATACAGGACACAAGACAATTCTCTGTTGTATGGGATTGTCCCACATTGCCTGACAAGCAACATCTCAATGAATGCCAGCAGTCTTCCCCAATCACTGTGACAATCAAAATATACTCCTAAGTATTTGTCCCACTGACAACCACTGCAAAGCACTAAACACTTAGACTCTTGATATAGTTCCACGTTCGCACTAAAAAAAAAAGTCCCAAACTTTGAAAGGAGATAGTCTGAAGTAATCAGGATTACCATAGAACAGTTATAACCAAGAATAGACATCAAAAGTCACCCATGGACCTTTTTAAAAAAATGAAAGACTTGAGGTTCTGAGACAGAGCCCTGGCCATCTGTTGCTTTGTGTATGTATGCTTGTATATCCCCAGGGAAGAATCATTATTCTAGAGAATGAGAGGTTGCAGAATCACTTAATATAGTATTTCTCAAAGTTTAGTTGTTTACTAAACACTGATAGTCCTTGTTAGTTGCATGATAGTTGCTAAGTAGTCTATCAAGTGGTTCGCAGTCCACTATACCCTCAGAGGAAAAAAGTAAATGAAACAATTTTGCTCTCATACCTTGCATATATATGAATTGTATAACTATATTTTTCACAGAAATTCTTTTTACCTGCTTAATAATTATATTAAAAAGGCACATAAATGATAAAAATTTAATGTTAGTAGTCTCAGCTAAGACAACTCATTTCAGTAAGGCCATTTACAAGTTTTTACTTATATTTGTTAAACTTGAATTTTTCTTTAATATTGTTAATGCTCTCTTAGCAAAAACATGTAAAGTCACATCAAAAAGAGTTAAAGAACATCATAAACACAATCAGAAAAATGAACTACTTGCTATATTCTTTTATCTAACCACAAAGCATACAATGAGAAGGTGCAAATTATTATAATTGCATGCTAGCATATATTTCATTTAAATTAGTAAAACCATCATGTGGTGTAAAAATTAGCTTTTGGTGTTTATGCAGTAAAACTATGAGAAGTACTCAACAACTTGGCTCAGCTTATTACCAAAAGCTTATGATACAGGAGAAGCATATTCATTTGATGATAGCATAAAGTTAAATGTTTTTTTCCCACTGAAACAGCAATATAAGAGATGTACATTCATAAGTCTCCCTCTCCAAATGCAACCACTATTACCAGTATGGATATTTTGATAAACAAAATATACATCTAAACATACACTAATTAAAAAATAAAAACTGGGGCATGCTAAAATCCACTTTGCATTTACACTAAGTTCTCTACATATGAACCTTCAAGTTGTGAACTTTCAAAGATGCAAAGGTACGTTCATATGTCCAATCATGTAAGTTAGTTCATGTGTCTGTCATTACACTGTCACGTGTGTGCATCCTCTACAAGTGGTTGTGCGTTTGTGTACTTTACTGTACAGTACTGTATACAGTAGTACAGTATATTTATTTCAAGCCTAGGATGTCTGGAAGCAAGTGTAAAAGCAGCGGTGATGTAGCTGATACTACTATACTTTTCAAGGTACTGTATTGTAAGATTAAAAATGTTGGGGCTTCCCTGGTGGCACTCTGGTTGAGAGTCCGCCTGCCAATGCAGGGGACGTGGGTTCGTGCCCGGGTCCGGGAGGATCCCACATGCCGCGGAGTGGCTGGGCCCATGAGCCATGGCCGCTGAGCCTGAGCGTCCGGAGCCTGTGCTCCGCAACGGGAGAGGCCACAACAGTGAGAGGCCTGCGTACCGAGGGAAAAAAAAAAAAAAAAAAAGTTTTATTTTTTGTGTTTGTTTTTTATGTATTATTTGTGTGAAAAGTATTATAAACCTATTACAGTACAGTACTATATAGCCGATTGTGTTATTTGGGTACCTAGGCTAACTTTGTTGGACTTATGAACAAACTGGACTTACAAACACGCTCTCAGAATGGAACTCGTTTGTATGTAAGGGACTTACTGTACTTGGTCTTGGGCATCATTCAGAGGTAGTGCTACCCTCCTTCTTCTTAATAGTTCCATACAATGAATGCACTGTAATTTATTTAATCACGTCCTATACAGTTAGCAATTATTTTGCGCAATGATATAGAATAGAAAAATACACTGCAATTAGTACTGACAGATCAAGAATTATGTGTGTGGCAAGAGAATATTTTGCTGCATATTAAAAACGTTGCACCTGAATATCATAAAGAATGTTTGGAAGTTAACAACGTACTGATACAGCTCTTGATCTTAACTGGTGTTGAAGGAAATAACAAATGTTGTGAATATAATCAAATCTTAGTTACTAAATGTATCTCTTACTAGCATGCATATGAAGGAATAAGGAGCAAGTGCAATACTATTTTTCCTATACATGTGCGCTGGTTGCTGAGGAAATAAAATGTTCTCACAAACTATTGGAAGTGAAGGATGACATAAAAACATGACATACATGATGCTAATTAACACCAGTTCTTTGATTTCCAGTTGCTAATTTCAAGTGATCTTTAGTATCATAAGTAACCTGAACCTATCTTCAGAGCCAAAATATCACTATATTAAATGAAGATACACTCCAGTAAAAATATGGCAAAGTAGACAGGCTGTGAAATGGTGATACCCTCCATAACTAGCCCAACAGGACCTGTTCAGGAGATTTTTATGTATCTCAAATCTTTTTTTCTTCAAAAGTGATAACATCCAACTCCCGTCTTTACCTATAAGCCTGATAATGATGTCTGTTCTCCATTTCCCGACTAAAACTGTCAAGTTTTAACTTTTTAACTCCTTACCTGAGCCTACCAAACCTGACTCTACTCATGTATTTCTTTAAACATACCGTTAACCACATACTCTTTCTTCCCCATAGATTGATGTGTTTTCTCAGGGTAACAGTAGTTTTTATTATTTGCCAACCCGGGATTCTTTTTAACTATTCATTAAAAATGTCCACAGAGGCTGAAAAGAAACACTAGAGTCCCTTCTCATATTAAGAAATCATTGCTGTTGGACTGACCACTCACTGTCCTTCTGTTCATCAATTCCTATGACTATCAGGGTAAATGACTATATCTGACTGACTATATTTAACTATTGGTAGACTTTGCCTTTTGAATATGCCTATTTTCCCTGGTCTGGTCGTTTTACTCCAAACAAGCACACAAATGCAGCTTTTTTTCTGTCTCTGAAAGACAATGGAAAACCAAACCTGAAAAGGCATAAATCCTAATCCTCAGACCTGGAAAAGACAAAGAAAGAAATGCTGTTCTTCACTTTAGTTGCACAAACACTCTGAAGTCTGAAGTGTTACTATTATGAAGGCAATGTAGAAATTAAGGATAATTTCCTGCCTTTCAGGGGATTCACAATCTAATGGGAAAAGTATACACTAATCTACATAATGTTGAATATAATAAAATGTTAAAATAATGGTAGTTACTATTTAGTGAGCACCTACTGTGTGCCAGGCACTGATCACGTTTTTTTTTAAATGCATAAATTAATTTAATCCTCACAATAACCCTATGAGGTAATTATTGTTGTAGCTATTTTATAGACAGAGAAATTAAGGTGTACAGAGAAGTAACTGGTCCTAGGTCACATAACTAGTAATTTCAATTGCAGTTATAGTTTTCTTTGGGCTTGAGTGACAAATAACTAACATTAAAAGAAAGTGAATAGATTACTTGAAATGAATACCCCAGCCATCAAGCACCAGAAAGCCACTGGATTTCATTAATGACCGGCCCACCGAAGCAAAGAGTTCTCAAAAAAGCAGTTATATGATATTGATAAGCCATCTCTTTATAGGAAAGAAACCACTTCTTCAATAGTTCCTCTCCAATTTTATTATCTCTCTAATTTTTAGCAGAGTATGGAAGGAAATACTCATCTTTGTTGAAGTGTGACAGGTTTGAATAATAAAATACTAATGTACATTTTCATACCTATGCATATTTTAATTATATGCTGTTATAATTTTTAATTGGGTTAATCTTCTTTAAAAATTATCATAGGGGCTTCCCTGGTGGCGCAGTGGTTGAGAATCTGCCTGCTAATGCAGGGGACACAGGTTCGAGCCCTGGTCTGGGAGGATCCCACATGCCGCGGAGCAACTAGGCCTGTGAGCCACAACTACTGAGCCTGCACATCTGGAGCCCGTGCTCCGCAACAAGAGAGGCCGCAACAGTGAGAGGCCCGCACGCCACGATGAAGAGTGGCCCCCGCTTGCCACAACTAGAGAAAGCCCTCGCACAGAAACGAAGACCCAACACAGCAAAAATAAATTAATTAATAAATTCCTACCCTCAAATATCTTCTTAAAAAAAAAAAAATTATCATAAAGGACTTTCCTTCCATAATGTACTTTTGAAACATATACTGGTTCAGGTGAAACAATAGGTTCTGCAGGGATAGGAGGGGGACCTGTAAATAAAACAAAAACATAAGGAAAAATGAAACATCAAATGTTCCAAAGAGCAGGTATCATACTACTCTGTAATAAAACAGCGATCCAAGAATGATTATCTTTTCTGTATACTTCTGCCAACTCTAGGCCATCTATTATCCATTAGCTCAGCCTTGCTAAATGTCTTTCCTATATTGAAATCAATTCTACAAACACCAAATACCTTTCTGGGTGCCCTATTCTTATGCTACTATATAGCTTGCTTTGTAATAGATTCAACATTCTGAAAACCGGTAAAAATGAAACCCTGTTCTAAATGCTTATGAACAATTTTATATTTACAATAATACTAGGTAAAACATTTAAACTTAATATTCTACCAAAAAGTTAGTAAGTAAAAAATTACCATTTTAATGCTATTTTATCAGAGTAGTTTGTAGGGGAATACTTCATTCAAAGTTTTCTAAGCTTTTAGTCCCATTCTTTGCAATAGCTTTCCAATTTGGTTCCCAAGTTGGGAAATCCAGGAAGAACAAGAAAAGAACATGACACTAAACTAAAGGGATAAAAGATCAGGAAAGCTTAAATGAGAAGGGTCCAGGAGCAAAGGTTCAACTAAAGTAGTCAATATCTCTCAAGAAATCATTCATAAAGACAAAGAAAGAAAACAGAACTGCTACTCTGGACCTCATTTTGAGTAAAATGAGAAACTGGTTGTAACATAGAAATTAGCAAAGAAAGACTGACAATGTCATCTTGGGGTTCACATTAATTAAGTAAATGTTGACTATAGTTAGATATATACACTCTGGACTTTAAATAAGCAGAACTTTAAAAACTCAGAGAAAGATGGATTTTTTCCATCTACTCAGTGAGGATCAAGTGAAATGAAAACTAAAGATATTAAATCCTGTTTATCAAGCACAAATGCTTTCAATAAATAAGAAAATGTGACTGTACAAGTTGGTCTGCATTTTGAAACACCATATAGAGTAATCTTGAAAAAGATGAACAAAGTTGGAGGACTCACACTTCCTGAATTCAAAACTTAATTACAAAAGTTACGTTAATCAAAACAGTGTGGCAATGGCATAAAGACAGACACTTATAGACCTATGAAATAGAATAGAAAGGGCAGAAATAAATCCTTACAAAGGTGGTCAAATGATTCTCAACAAAGGTGTCAATACCATTCAATAGGGGAAAGGACAGTCTTTTTCTACAGATTATGCTGGAAAAACATGATATCCACATGCAAAAGAATGAAGTTGGACCCTCAGATAACCCTACATACAAAAATTAACACAATATGGATCAAAGACCCAAACGTAAGAGCTAAAACTATAAAACCTTTAGAAGAAAACATGGGCAAAAAGCTTCATGACATTGGACTTGGCAATGATTTCTTGAATCTGATGAAAGGCATAGGAAATAAAAACAATAGGCAAACTGGACTTTTTCAAAATTGAAAACTTCTGTGACTCAAAGGCCACTATTAACAGAGTAAAAATGCAAATCACAAAAGAGGGGCAAATATTTGCAAATCACATATCTGATAAGGGATTGTTATCTGGAATATACAGAGGACTCCTAAAACTCAAAAGAAAACCAAACAACCCAATTCAAAAATGGGCAAAGGACATGAGTATGACATTTCTCTAAAGAATATATACAAGTGGGCAATAGCACATGAAAAAAATGCTCAACATCACTGATAATTAGGGAAAGCAAATCAAAATCACAATGAGACATGATATCACACCCATTAGGATGGCTACTATCAAAAAATGAAGAATAGCAAGTGTTGACAAGGATGTCGAAAAACTGGAACCCTTGTGCACTGTGGGTGGAATGTAAAAGGGTGCAGCCATTATGGTAAACAATACAGCAGTTCTTCAAAAAAATTAAATACAAAATTACCATATGATCCAGCAATTCCACTGCTGGGTATAAAACCTGAACAATTGAAAGCAGGGTGTCAAAGAGATATTTGTACACCCATGTTCATAGCAGCATTATTTACAATAGTCAAAAGGAGAAGCAACCCAAATGCCCATCAACAGATGAATGGATAAACAATATGTGGTATACACATATAATAGAATTATTATTCAGCCTTAAAAAGGAAGGAAATTCTGACACATGCCACAACATGGATAAACTGGCTAAGTGAAATAATCCAGTCACAAAAGAGACACATACTGTATGATTCTACTTAAATGAGGTACCTAGAGAAGTCAAATTAATATAGACAGAAAGTAGAATGGTAACTGCCATGCGCTTGGTGGAGGGGGGAATGCGAGTAACTGTTTAATGAGTATAGAATTTCAGTTTTGCAAGATGAACAGTTATGGATATTGGATGCACAAAAAAGTGAATGTACTTAACACTACTGAACTGTACATTTAAAATGGTTAACTTGGTAATTTTTACGTTTTAAATACATGCATTACAAAAAGTTTACGTTACTTTTACATTATTAAATGATTTTTTAAGGGGTATTGAACTAAAATAAACACAGAGCCAGATTCTTAAATCACTGTGTCAAAAAGTGTTAGATTTTCAAAACCTAACATAATATCATTAAGCATACTGCTCTTGAAAAGAGTCAGAGCAAAAAAGTATTTATATGGTTAACAAAAAACTAAGAATATACTTTTAAAAACACCATGTACAATATATGAAAGAAGATATACATGAAAAATAATTCTGATGAGTTCAGAATTTTGAAAAAATTAAAAATAAGTTTTAAAATTTTTACATTATAAATAGGGAGGAGACTAGAAAAACAAATATAACATTAACAGCAAAGAAAAGAAATAAATACTCAATACTTACCTTCCATATCTCTTCACAAGAAAAATAAATAGTTAAGCTCAGTTGTCTAGGACAAACATTTTAAAGAAGAAAATGTAGTTCATTATAAGGGAAAAGACGACCTAATTGAATTATTTCCAGGCTCTATGCCAAGAGAAAACCTTTTATTAAAGAACTCTTAGTCATCATTAAGGAACTATTGGCACTTTTCAAGAAAACAATAGTGAATATAAAAGTGGCATCAGTGCAGATGGGAAAATGCTACTTTTTCACAAAAAAGGGAAAAGATAAATGTTTAGAAACTAAAAATTGTGGCCCACAGGGCAAAAGATTTGCTAGCCCTAGATAAACATTTTGAAAACCCTCAGGGGAAATGCATTTTTCATGAGAAGCCAATCATAAATATCATTTTCTGATAATTAAATTAGATGCATGGGAAATTTTGTAGATATATTTTAACTTGATTTCAACTAAGTATTTTAGTTCCTTGAGGGTACAGAATGGGTCTTACTTGATTCTAGACTCCTAGTATTTACCACAGTCCCTGGAAGTTATCACAGTCCTAGTATTTACCCTAGTACATCCTCAAAACATAGATTTATTGATTTGAATGCATGTGACGGTTGGAAAGAAACGGGGAAAATATTGCTGGGGACATACCTAGGTGGGTTGATAGCTTATGAAATAATCACATATAAAGAATTTCCATTGATAAACTGCCAGCATGGATAAGACACCAAAATTATCATACCCAGCCCTAAAAAATTAATAAATCTAAAAAATAGTGAACAGAAATATGAAAATTAACAAAATACTTTCCTAAGTACTTATTTAATCCAAACTATCAGTATTTTGAAAACAATGAGAAAGACTACACATCAAAACAATAATGGTTTTAATTAAACAACAGAAAAATTAAAATATATAGAATAAGAACTGAACTTAGAGAAAGAACAAAATGACCTTAAGGAAAGTATTACAAAAGAAATATTAAAATTAATAGGTTATAAACAAACAAAAAAAGCCCAGTCATAAGGTGATCTGAATTTAACTAGAATTTATTGTCACTGTTTAAATCAAATTTAAATGTTTTTATTTACTAAAGTTGCCTCATTTACAGCTAAACCAAAATGTAATCTAACATGAATGAAATATTGACAAAAACTGGTTACTATGCTAACATATATACTCCTCAAATTGATTAATGTTTAATAAGAACCACTGTCATTTGATTATGTTACTGTTCACCAGGCACTGGTTATAAGCTTTGCATCCATTATTTACTGAATCCTAATGACAGCCATAGTAGGTATCTATCCTTGTCTCCATTTTTCAAATGATGAAACTTAGGTTTAGGAAGCAAACAACTTGTCTTGTCCAGGGTCAATACTCAATCCTGAGCAATCTAATTCTGGACTTTACACTCTCAACCTATTTGCTATGCTACCTTAGGCCCTTATTTTCTCAAGTAACCCTACCATTACCGAATTTAACATAGGCAAACTTCACAAAAATTGCATTAATAACCTCTACATATTAAGTGCACAGTGTTAAGTTCATAATAAGAATCCAATAAATTACAGAGAAAGCTAAGTTTCAGGACTCAAACCCATCTACAATCTGACAAGTTATCAGACAGTTCAGCAACATGTTTACATCTTTGGTGTTGAAATATACAAGAGCATTTTAACTACTATTAAATAAGTCAGCAATCAGCAACGGAAGAAAATCATTCAAATCCTGCTACTTCTTGTAGTTGCCAAGTAACTCTTCATTAACATAAATCTTTCAGGTGACACTTTCTGGAAAATGATACACTTTATAAACACTACTTTATAATCAAGAATATTTACCTGATGTTTCTGAAATTCTTGGTTCAGTTTCATCCAATTGTAGAAGCTCATCAAGAGCTAATTTTGCTGCATTGGATCTAGACTCCTTTTTATTTTGTCCCAGTCCAGTCTTGTATTGAATACCATCCACCACAGCACAAAAAGCAAAATATGGTCCCATAACATTACCTTGAAAAATAACTCAGAATGAATGCTGTAATACTTCACAGTATGATCTTGCAAAAGATGTCTGTTACATAGAAAAACATCCCAGTACAACTGTAGAAAACTATCTCAGCCTACCAGTTATTCTGCAGAGCCAATACAGGTTAAAAGTAAAGCGGAGTGGGCCCCTGAACTAGTTCTGAGGAATCCTTCAAGCAGCCAGTTTGGCTCCAGATTCAGCATGAACAATAGGGCCAGCTTAGAGTACACGTCACACACAGAGTGACAGTGCCTTGTATAATTCCTGGCAATGGTAAGCATCCCAATATCTATCTAATGACCAATGAGAGGGAAGATGTGGAGCCTCTGGCAACATGTCTCTTCTTTCGAACTTCAATACCAATGAAGTTGAACAACTCCTACACTCCGAGTGCCCTGATACTCTTATAAGCTCCGGAACAGAAGGAATCCCTTTTAAGAAATCTTATGTTTCTATCAGGGAGTCACAATAAGCAATCCAAGCCATCACAGCCTTATGGTGTGTGTGTGGGATTTACAAGGAAAACCAAACCGTAAATAATAATAAGAAAAGATATGCTAAAGAACTGAACTGTCCAGTCACCCAAAATTCCCGGAAAAATTACCTTTACACAGTTACATTTACCTAGTTTTCATATTTGCCTGATGAAAAATGAAATGGAACCATCTTCTAAATTTACAAGCCAAAGATTTTTCTGGTTCAAGTTTTACTTGGTATTCAGACTACAGGAGGCCTTTAAGAAACTTAAGTCTCCACTCTGGTTACAAATGGATACATACAGTGTCACTCCACATAAGCCTCATTATTATTGTATTATCTTGTCTTCTTACATATTCCATTAGCTTCTGGGTTTTTCTTTAAGATGTACATCAAGAATTTAGAAGCAACTCCAGACTGCATCAGGGTAAACTGTTTTCCTCCTAACATCTATGACCTCAGTTTCCCAAATTCCTTCCTTCATGATCACCTGGGTTCCAATCCAAATTTAGTAAACCTGAGACTATTTTATATTTTTAACAAGTGGCCCAGATGATTCTTATTTGTGAGATATTATGTGTCAAATTTGTTAATAAGTACTGTGTCAGAGTGCTGAGACTTTAAGCTTCATCCTGTTTCTACCCCAGGTTCTCAAACTTGATCATCATCTAAATACATACTAAAGAGCTTGTTAAAAAATATTGACACTCTGGTTTTTCTACCAAATCTACTGAATTAGATTATTCAGCTAGTACTATGCACATAAAATGCACATCGTTAACAATCACTGGATTGTGTTTTTGAGTTTTTACTTTGTTCAACGAAGAGTTGCCCTGATAAGTTTTCTTCATACTGTGACCAATAGTTTACATTTTCCAAGGGCAGTCTGAGAAGAATGGCAGAAAGCTAATTACACAGAAATTCAGTCCATAGTATTGATCGTATGAAGTTATCCAACCTACAGTGATAGAACCTAGGAAAACGTCACTTCATTATTAAGACCCTATTTTTGTCACCTGTTAATTTTTCTAATCACTAGTCATAAGGTTAAGAAATCAGAAACTTCTTTCCATCTTTTACTAATCTGTACTCCTGTAGCCTTCCACAGGCCCAATGTGCTAACAGATTCTTCTGGCAGGGGACAGTTTAAGAGAGAATGGAGAAATTTAGTCAAAGACAAGGCTGCAGACAGAGAATCAATCAGGTAACTGCTATTTTCCCTTATACTTTATAAAAATTAGGTTCTGAAATATAAATTTCAGAAGCCAAATTTGACTATAATTTTCATTAGGCATCATCACCACAGAATACTCATAAAATCATCAGAGTCCAAATATTCAACATCCCTACAGAAGTATACTTATGCTATAAGAAGTACTTACAATTGAAAATAATCTACAAGGCTGATGAGGTTTAAACTAGCCATACACAAAAAATTAAAATTCAGTATTTTAGAACTTTTGTATGAGTAAATTTAGAGGCTCAAAAGGCTAAAGAAGTATGAACATAAAAATTTCTGAAGTACCCTTGTCAAGGCATACTAGCAATTATCTAACCCCGACATTAGGCAAATAAATAAGATAATCAAATTTTGTACCACTTATATACTGTTTTCAATAGGAAAATATTTTCTAGTACTGGAACAACCAGATACAACTTCGCACTTGCCTGTTGTTACTGTTTCCTTAAGGTCAAACTGAACCCGCTGCATTTGCGCAAACTGGTGCAAGGCTGATACCGGATTTATCTCTCCATGCTTGTATTTCATTATAAATTCCTTAGGTATTTTTTTTGGAGGAAGGAGAGGATTTGAAATAGATGAAAGACCTTTGGAGAGCAATGGTTCTGGAAAATTACCTAAAAATAAATGTTTACGCTTGTCAACTTGGTTAAATTAAAAAGAATAATAAGACAAGCAAAAGCACCAAACCCTTTCCTAAAATGGAAGGTGTTCCAGACACATTTAGTCACATGTGTTTTTCATTAACAATGAGTTTCTACTACTAAAGAAGTGTAACCTGTTACTGTATATATCTTTTAGAGTACTATTTTGCAAAGTACTATCATTGTCATATAATTAAGTGATATCAAAGGATCCTAGCATTTCAGTGATGTCAAGGTCTTCAGATGCTCTCTAAGCCAGTTTTATCCATGATGTCACTAAGGCCTAAAATGTATTAAGACAGATTTGGGACTAGAACCTAGTTTCTGCTTCCCATTCACTATTTCATATTACCTTTCACGTTGAATTCAATCAAATTTTTAGTGTGTCTGTCCCTGCTTTACACTTAACACTCTACTGAGTGATATGTGGAATAGAAACCAGTATAAATCCAGTCCTCTCTCCTGAAGGGAGTGACACAGCCTCACCTCAAAAAGGCAAGACACACTGGAAGTGGTTGTACACCCAAGTGGTAAAGATTAAGTCAGTAGCCAAGGGAAGGACTTCTACTGTGATGGGAGTCAAATCCAAGTTTCAGTCGGGACATGGCCACAGGTAAATGGATATATATCCAGGAAACATTTAAACCGGGGGCTCAACAAAACTAACTGGCCATCTCAGAATCTTAAAGAACGTAGGCGTTAGTACAAATGTAAAGGAGTTTGTACCCGTCACTTGAGTAACCTTGGATGTCATGTTCGACAAGCTGTAACTTTCCGAGGAACATCCTGTGGGTGTGGTTACCGTCTGGGCTGATGGCTGAACTGCCAAGTTCTTTTTCAGCATCTGGGCAAAGCTAGGGACCCGAGAACTCTGAAACCAGTCATCGTGGCCAGACATTTTCTCACCTACAAATTGTAAGAAAGTTGGCAGAAGACAAAAAAAAAAAAAGTACTACGTAAACTAAAAATACTCTGAAATAAAAACCAACCACATTCCCATAAGCGGCCTTTACACACACATGACAAGCGCTAAACCTCTAACTGATGTCACGGCTGCTCTGTGCCTACAGTCTTACGGGTGACAAAACTATCTCTCCTAAATCCCTCCCCCAAAGCACTACTACAAAGAGGAAAGAAGGGACGAGGTGGTCCGTGGTGAAAAGCCCTTCCTCGGGTGTCAGGAAAAACAACAACAACAAAAAGAATACATTTGAGACCCGCAGCGGCCCGCGAGTCCCAGCCCAACACCCACTCACCAAAATTGTCCTTCTTGCCCTGCTGGCCAGACCCTGCCGGCGGGCAGCTCTGACGGAGCCGCAGGCCGGGTGCTCGCCGGCCGGCTGCTGCCGACGCCGTGGCTTCTTCCTCCCTGCCTCAACCTCTCACTTCAAACCGCTTGGCCTGACAACCACACGCCCAGGGCTGCGTCTTTCAAATGGCTGCCTCACGACGTCCCTGCAGGCCAGGGACTGACGCCCCCGCGCCCTGCCTCAACCAGTCACCAACCGTCTCCTAGGCTCGCGCTACCGCCCCCCGCGCCTGCGCCTACGCGTGCGCGCCTGCGCCTACGCGTGCCCGCCGCGCTCCATGGCTTGCGTCGCCAAGCGTCGGGACGCCGCAGAACGTCGCGCACGTTTAAGGCCGCGGGGTGTGTTCCCAGCTTTCCGAGGGTGGGTATCCAGGCTCCTTGGCCGCCTTGACTGCTGGAGCACGCCGGTAACGTTGAGCAGTTCGGCCCCTTCGCTCCCCTGCCCGACGCCCTCTACGCACACCTGCCCCCTACCCACTCCATCCTGACAGAGCACTGGAATGGGGTCTCCTTATCTAGGGTCCTTGGAGGCAGCCCTAGGGCTACCTGTGTGTGTGTGTGTGTGTGGGTAGTTTCAAGGAAACCCTTCGCTTTGTCCCCAGTTATACTCTGAGAAGGTCCCTGTGGACAGGGTTTGGCCTCACGGTGTCTTTATTGTTTACAGGAAAAAAACCACCCTGGATTCTTGCAGAAGCTTCACATGGGGCCAAGCCAGGAACAGTCCTGAAAACAGGTATGGCAAACCCAGTGTGCCTGTCCTCAGTTCTTGGCTCTTGTGAAAATTGAAGGAGGCTCTGATAGAGGTGTTGCTGAGACACCGCTGAAAATATTTTAACTAGTATTTTACTAAACAAGATTTGGCATGTAACTCATGGAATTGAGTGAGATTGTTATAACAAAATTTAAATGACCCTCTACTTCTTTACGTGGGAAAGGCTTCTCAAGGGTTAAATCACTTTAAAAAAAATAGAAAAAATAACAGAATTGATGGTGTGCTACCTCATTATAGCAAGAAGTAATATCCGTCCACAAATACATGGGTTAATTGGGAGAAAAAACAACATCATTTTCTCATTAAGTAGTGCATTTTCAATAAAAGCAGCATGTTCTTTAGTGGTTATCAGAATGTGTTGGTTATGACGTTTTGATCAAGTGCTCGTTGATAACTGTAATGATAACTCAGTCTAGGTTTTTTTTTCCTTTAATATTTAGAAACTTTTGCTTACAGGAGATTAAAAAGTTCAAATGTTGCCGAGAAGTGTGGTAAGGATGGTGAATAAAACTTCTAAGTACAAAATTACATAATTACATTAGGATCAGTTTGAGTAGGGACGCGGAATGGAAATAGAAGCTAAAGAAGTAAAAGGAATGGTTAAAAATGACTCTTAAAGATAAAGCATATGTATATAATGTTTTATTTTGAAATAATTTTAGATTTACAGAACACTTGTAAAGATAGAGTTCCTCTATACTCTTCCATCCAGTTTCCCCTAGTGTTAACATCTTACATAGCATAGTACATTTATCAAAACTAAGCAATTCACATTGGTACAAAACTACTAACTGTACTATATACTTTATTCGGATTTCACCAGGTTTTTAATTAATGTCCAGATTCAACCCAGGATACCCCATTGCACTTAGCAGTCATGTCTCTTTCGTCTTCTGTGGTTTAAATGGTAGTTTCTCAGTCTGTCCTTGTTTTTTATGACTTTGATCCTTTTGAAGAGTACCAGTTGGATATTTTGTAGAATGGCCCTCAATTTACATTTGCCTAATGTTTTCTCATGCTTAAACAAGAGTTAAGGATATTTGGTAAGACTACTATGGAGGTGAAGTGCGCATCTTGTGGCATATCAAGGAGTACATGATATCAGCAGCTATTAGTGGTGATGTTAACCTTGATGACTTGTTAAGGTTGTGTCTGTCAGGTTTCTCCACTCTGAAGTTACTATTTTCCCTTTTCTGTACTCTGTTAGAAGGAAGTCCAGCATACACACAAGGGGAGGGAAATAGAGATACATCTCCTGGAGAGAAGAGTATCACAGTTTATAGACATATGTTAAAACCACCATGTTAATAAATATTTTTAGGGAGATAATTTGAGGCTGTGTAAATATCCTGTTTCACCCTGGAGTTTGACTAATTTTCATTTTGCCTGAAGCAGTTATTACTGTGGTATTCTTATTTTTTTAAATAAGTTTTCTCAGTTAAATTTCTTCTTTTTTATTAAAATATAATTGACACATAACATTATATTAGTTTCAGTTGTAAAACATATGATTTAGGGCTTCCCTGGTGACACAGTGGTTAAGAATCTGCCTGCCAATGCAGGGGACACGGGTTCAAGCCCTGGTCCAGGAAGATCCCACATGCCATGGAGCAACTAAGCCCGTGTGCCACAACTACTGAGCCTGCTCTCTAGAGCCCGTGTGCCAGAACTCCTGAGCCTGCGAGCCACAACTACTGAAGCCTGTGCGCCTAGAACCTGTGCTCTGCAACAAGAGAAGCCACCGCAATGAGAAGCCTGTGCACTGCAATGAAGGCCCAACACAGCCAAAAATAAATAAATTTATTAAAAAAACATATGATTTAGTGTATGTATATATTGCAGGTTGATCACCACAACAAGTGTAGTTAACATCACCACATACAGTTATAAATATTTTGTTTGTGATAAGAACTTTTAAGATCTACTATCTTAGCAAATATTGTGCATAACATCCCCAGGACTTATAACTGGAAGTTTGTACCTTTGACATCCCCACCCCTTGCCTCTGGCAACCACGCATCTGTACTCTGAATCTATGACTTCATTTTTTTTTTTTGCGGTACGTGGGCCTCTTACTGTTGTGGCCTCTCCCGTTGCGGGGCACAGGCTCCGGACGCCCAGGCTTAGCGGCCATGGCTCATGGGCCTAGCTGCTCCGCAGAATGTGAGATCTTCCTGGACCGAGGCACGAACCCATGTCCCCTGCATCGGCAGGTGGACTCTCAACCACTGCGCCACCAGGGAAGCCCTATGACTTCATTTTTTAAAAATTCGATATGTAAGTGAGATCATACAGTATCTGTATTTCTCTGTCTTATTTCCCTTAGCATAATGCCCTCAAGGTCAATCCATGTTGTTGCAAATGGCAAGATTTCCTTCTTTCTATGGGTGAATAATATTCAGTTGTGTGTATATATACATATATGTGTGTGTGTATATATATATGTGTATATATATATATATATATCATCTTTATCCATTTCACCATTGATGGACAGTTAGGTTGTTTCATGTCTTGGCTATTGTAAATAATGCTGCAGTGAACATGGGGGTGCAGATATCTTTTCCAGTTACTTTTTTCATTTCCTTAAGATAAATACCCGGTGGTGGAAATGCTGGATCGTATGATAGTTCTATGTTTAATTTTTTGTGGAACCTCTATACTGTTTTCCATTACCAGTGAAGGAATTTACATTCCCACTAACAGTGTATGGGCGTTCCCTTTTTCTCCACATCCTCCCCTGGTAATTTCTTTCTTTCTTTCTTTCTTTTTTTATTGGGGTATTGTTGTCTTACAACGTTGTGTTAGTTTCTACTGTACAGTGAAGTGGAGTTCCCTGTGCTATACAGCAGGTTCTCATTAGTTATCTATTCTATATATATTAGTGTATATATGTTAATCCCAATCTCCCAATTCATCCAACCTCCCCATCCCCCCTTGGTGTCCATACGTTTGTTCTCTACATCTATTCACCTGTTATTTCTTGTCTTTTAAATAATAGCTGTTATTAGATGTGAAGTAGTATCTCATTGTGGTTTTGATTTGTATTTCCTTGATGATTAGTGATGTTGAGCATTTTTTCATGTACCTGTTGGCCATCTGTATACATTCTTTGGGGGAAATGTGTATTCAAATCTTCTTCCCATTTTAAAAATCAGATTGTATGGGGTTTTTATATTGAGTTTTATGATCTCTTTATATATTTTGATATTAACCCCTTATCAGATATACAATTTGCAATTTTTTCCCCTTTCCATAGGTTGCTTTTTCATTTTGTTAATGGTTTCCTTTCCTGTGCAGAAACTTTTTAGTTGAATATAGTCTCACTTGTTTATTTTTGCTTTTGTTGCCTTTGCTTTTGGTGTCAAATTCAAAAAATCATTGCCAAGACCAAAGTCAAGGAGCTTACCACCTATGTTTTCTACTAGGGGTTTTATGGTTTCCAGTCTTATGTTCAAGTCTTTAATCCTTTTTGAGTTTATTTTTGTGAATGGTGTGAGATAGTGGTCTAGCTTTATTTTTTTGCATGTGGCTGTCCAGTTTTATTGGAGAGACTAACCACTGTATATTCTTGGCTTTTTTATCATAAATTAATTGACCATATATGCGTGGGTTTATTTGTGGGCTCTCTGCTCTATTCTGTTGATCTATGTGTCTGTTTTGTGCCAGTACCATAGTGTTTTGACTACTGTAGTTTATTGTGTAGTTTGAAATCAAGAAGCATGATGCCTCTGGCTTTGTTCTTTCTCAAGATTGCTTTGGGTATTTGGGATCTTTTGTTGTTCCATACAAATTTTAGTATTGTTTGTCTATTTCTTTGAAAAAAATGCCATTGGAAATTTGAGAGGGATTGCACTGAATCTGTAGATTGCTTTGGGTAGTATGGACATATAAACAATATTAATTTTTCCAATCCATGAGAATGGAATGTTTTTCCATTTATTTGTGTCATCTTCAGTTTCTTTCATCAGCGTCTTATAGTTTTCACCATACAGGTTTTTCAGCTTCTTGGATAATTTCTTCCTAGGTATTTTATTCTTTTTTGATGCAATTGTAAATGGGATTGTTTTATTAATTTCCCTTTCTGATAGTTCTTTTTTTTTAAATTTATTTTATTTTTATTTTTGGCTGTGTTGTGACTTTGTTGCTGCACACAGGCTTTTCTCTAGTTGTGGCGAGCGGGGGCTACTCTTCGTTGCAGTGCGTGGGCTTCTCATTGTGGTGGCTTCTCTTCTTGTGGAGCATGGGCTCTAGGCATGCGGGCTTCAGTAGTTGCAGAACGCAGGCTCAGTAGTTGTGGCTCGTGGGCTCTAGAGCACAGGCTCAG